TGAACTCTGGCTCGTTATTTTTGCCTTTTGCTTCAGAACCCCTAAAGTCCCTGTCAGCTAGGGTTTAGCTGAAGCCTTGCAACTTGCCTTTTGTCTTCTCAAATGATGGAGCTGAGCCCAAGGGAACAAATGCCATTTTAATGGGCATTGTTGTGTAACTCATTACATAAGTCACTGTTGCCTTCAAAGGACTCGTGGCAAAAGTGGCAGGAGCAGTTGATTAAAAATGTGCACAATAGCTTCATTATGACATAGGGAGAGATGTCCGCTGATATTTTTAATCTGATAGTTTTTAAATATGTGCATCCAGCAGAGACCTAAATGGCCTTTGAAAAAGGAACCATTTGTGGAATAAGATTTTTAGATTCCACTTCGTTCTTTCTAACAAGGTGCAAGAGTCAGGACAAGCTGGAAAATTAACTATAACCCCTTTTTTAAGGTTGTGTCCCCTCTAAAGCTGCAGGGTTTTGGTGTCCAAACACACATAGAGAGAAGATGGAGGGTTTAGTTTTTCAGGTGAAGGAAAGAAAAGGTACTGTAATCTAAAGTTTGTGGGGTTTTAAATAAGTCTATATTCAATTAGTTTTATATGATCCAAGCACTAGACAGGTTGAGCAGCTTGTCCCAGCTGTTGGAGCCTCCCTGCCATGGAACAGTAGTGACAAAAACAGGACCAGGAGGTGCAGAAGCAGGCAGGGCATTATTTCCCATTTCTGAAGGTTCCCATGTGCTGGTTACACGAGGCTGGCGAGTGGCACCCAGCAGATGGAAATTCTGTTATGACTGAGCTCTGTAAAAGGCTGAACTTTCACTTTGACATTAAAGCAGATAATTTGCTACTGGCTTAGCTTGGTGGAATTCACCAGCTTGTGTGTGTTTTGACTTATTCTGGCCTTTATTTGAACTCAAGTGGAGAGTAACCATTTGACTATGGCAGAGGTGGATGCTGGGCTTTGACTTGCAGGCTTTCTCCTAAGCATCCTTAGTTTCTTCTCCCACAAGCACATAAGCTGATTTATCTGCCTTCCCTTTTAACCTGAAACCTGCAGTTCTTTCCTCACCACATTTAGCTTTCTGTTGGCAAACTGGCAGCAGCAGCACCAGTTGCTGGAGTTTGGGGAGTGGTGGGGAATCGGGTGGCTCTGAGTTGGCCGTGGTCTCCTTAGCCAAGGTGTGCCTGGTCCGAGGGCTGGGGGGATACTGCAGACCCCTCTGGGCACAGCTGGCAGCAGGGCTGGTTGGATCAGGCCTGTCAGGTGAGCTCCTGGTGGTGTGTGTGTGGTCAGACCCCAGACACGAGCCTGGGAGCTGAGCAGGGCCATGACTCAACAGCTGGAGCACGTTCAAGCACGGCGGAGCGGGAGCCTCTCTGACAGGGGATGGAATTAGCTATGAAACGAGTGATGTTGTGAAGCTCCCAGTCAGAAATCAAAAAACTCAGATCTCTAATAAAGTCATTTTGAAGGGCTTTTTTTTCCAGTTGTGCGCAGCAGCAGAGAGCATCCAGACAGGTGAAATATGAGGGGATGGAAAGTCAGGGGTTCCTTTGAGACAGAAATACTTTGATACAACTTTTTTCTTTCCCCCTTCCAGTTGAAATCACTTCATTGAGTTTATTACCCTGACTTTTCCCATTCATCTCACAAATATTTTGACTCTTCATAGAAGTAAGTGTGGGGTACCCTCCTCCTGCACACCAGAGAGGAGAAAGCCACTGCTGAGACTCCAGCTAAACACTGCTGGCTATTCATCAACAAGAGGTGAGGGTAATATGATAGAATAATTTCCAGTGGGCAAGCTCCCAAACTAAGAACAATCTCAATGCTGCATTAAGGGGTTTGGTTACTGTAGATAGGCAGGAAGGAGCAGAGGGACAGAAGTGGTTTGAGCATTGCCATGGCTCTGTTTTCTGTATGTTATCAAATTATTTAATCTGTAAAGGCATTCTCTGCTGTTTGAACTTTTTAACTGGACAGACACACAGGACACGTAAGATATTTCAATTAGAATATAGTATTAAAAAAATAACTTTTTCAAAGCAGTGCTGTGGTAACCAGTCTAGGATGTTTTGCTCAGCTGTGCTCTTTGGAGGAGAGTTTCAGGCTTTGTCTATAAAAGCTTAGGTCCCTTACACCTGTGAGCTGGAATCCCTTCCTGCTCAAGTGTCACTTCTCTTTTATACCACTTCATCCAGATTCATTACAAAGCAAATTCTGTTTATAATGCTTGAATGATGTATCAGCTTGCAAACTGTAAAGCCCAGTGTGCCGAATAATTCTGTTGGCATTCACTGAACACAATCACAGGAGCTCCACAGCTCGATCCATGAACAGGGGGAGAGGCCAAGGGCCGGCAGAGTGATGGAGATGCTCTACCAGTCACTGACTCACCCTCTGCTCTGTTTAGACAAGTTGCTTCACCTCTGTGCCTGCTTCCCATCTGCAGAGTGAGGTTAAGGCCTGACTGTTTAAGGATGAGAACGATGTGTTTGTAATGTGCTTGGAACAAGAAAAGCGCTATTTTAAGTGCTAAGTGTAATTGAGTGTGAGAGAATATTGGTTTGTGACTCATTTGTTTAACTGCAAATGCATCAGAAACTTGTGAGCAGATGAGAGCTGGAAAGTGCTTGGTGTAGACAGAAAGCCATGGCAGTAAAAAGCTGCATTAATTTGTGATCTTCAAAGCAGGACTTAGCAGGGCTGTTCAAACAGTAACGTTTATTATTTTTGCAAATGTCAGCTGGTTTACTTCACCAGTACTATTTTAAGCAGTTCCTATTCTGCTCCAGCCACTTGCTTCTGTCCTTGCTCTGTGTGTCTATCTCCCCTCAGACTGTGCCACACAAATTATTTGTTGTGACCAAAGGATAAAAAGAACAAAGGGGTAGTGGTTGGCTGGTGGTGGTGGTGAAGAGGATCTGCTGTCAGCATAAAAGGAACTTTCTCTGATGGCAGCTCCTTTTGGAGGTTCCTGACCATGCAGACACATTGGTTCAGCCATTCACATGCTTGCCACATGAAGCTGGGTAGAGATGTCTAGTGGCAGGGAGGAAAGAAAATGTTAATCTTTTAAAATCTTTCTCCCTTCCAAATATCTTGTCTCTACAATGCAAAATTATCACCATAGGTGACCAAGGGTTTTGTAGGCACTGAGTGTTTTCTTACTGAGACCTGCAGTTTGGATCTCACTGCAGCCCATGGAGGAGCCAGACATAATTTGTTGCTGTCACCATTACTTCCCTGTAGATTAATTATTGTAATTGTTTGCCAGTTCTCAAAAAATTAATTCAGAGCCATGACTTTTCATGGCAAGCGTGCATGTGTGTGCAAATATGGAAATTCTCATATGGTGTATGGAATAAATGCAAATTATTTTCTGGGGAGGAGCTCAAGAGTGTTATCACAGCAGCCAGGAACTCTCTTCAGTGGTGACCTTCAGCACCCTGTGGAGACGAGAGGTTTTAAAGGTTTGGAGATCCTCTTGTGGATGTAAAGCACTGACGTAAATTGTTGCTAAGTTGGGGTGCCAGCTGCTGTAAGTGATTCTTCAGAGGCCAACTGATACGCCTGGATTTATCTGCAGTGGCCAAGGTTTTTAGTGCCTCCCTCCTCAGAGCACTAAGCAGGACTTTAGGATACAAAGAAAACCTGGGAAAACATTTACTCCTGTAAGTGGAGAACAGGTCTGCAGCCAGCCCAGATTAGGATCGGTGCTCACGTAGCTTCCATTTGTAGGATGCCTGCAAAATCTTGGTCTGGGGGACATACCTAACCTGAGTGCTGGTGGGTGTGCTCACAGAGGTCAGAGCTGCTGCCAGGAAACCAGGTTTAAAGGGAGACAGGTTCTTTCCTTGAGCTGTGGTTGGTGGTTTTGAGTACGAGGAGCAGCACTGCTCTGTGGTGTTTAGCTGCTGGGTGCTAGATTTGACTCAGCAGCATTTGCTGTTTGCAGTCTGCATGCTTAATGAGGTGCTGCAGTGCTGCATGCATGGGGCTGTCCTCTGGACTCATTACAGCCAGTGCACTTAATGCTCAAAGAACCTAAAAGAAAAATGAAACATACGGCAAAACTGTGTACTTTCCTTGATAATGTAATTAGAGACAAGTTGGGGAACTTCTGCTGAATTATCTGGGTCACTAGAGAGCAACTCAGACCTTAATTTATTAAAGTGCTCTTTGCTCAAAATACTCTCTAAATTGCTCTCTACAAGACAGCTTAGTTTTATTTAGCTTCATGGTTAAACAGATAAAAATGTATTTCAGCAGTATGTCTGCGTACGGCATGATTGCAAACCTTTGAGACTTCTTCTTTTAGGTATTCAAAAAACAATGAAAATACAATTTTTGAAAGGGCTGAGCACTTCTGCAGTTCAGTTTCTTGAAGGATGCGCTGGTATCAAAGGAGTTCCTCTGTTTTTTTCTGGTACACTGGAAATGAAATCCATTGCAGATGACAAGGGCTGGCATTTTTGTTCAGATTATCCGTGGGGCCACATTCAAAATTGGTGCTGCAGAGTGGGTAGAGATCAACATCCTGGCAAGGGCATGACCTGGGATTGTGGCACTGACCTGCAGCCAAGGGCTGTGAAGGAGTCACTTCATCCCCTTGACTCAGTTGCTCATCTGCCAAAGAGGCACGATGATTGCCTCCTTTGTAAAGTACTTCAGGACCTTCTGGGGAGAAGTGCTTTGAAGAGAGGTGTTTTTCCTCTTCCCTCCAAGGCACAGAGCAGTAGCAGTCCCACTGTCCCTGCCTCTGCTTTGCAGCGTTCCTGCCTCCAAGGGAAAGCAGGAAATGCTGGTGATACTGTGGTTGAGGAAAGCAGGAAATTATGGTGGTGTTGTGGTTTGAAACATAATATAGAACAGTAGCTTATTCGTTATTATCTTCCACTTAATAAATTTACATGGTGCAAGTGTCTTCCAGACAGATAATGCTGTAACATCCCTGGTTTCAACATATTTGCCTTAATCCAGTAATGCTTTTCTGTGTTTTTCTAGATTCTGAGCGTTCCCATCTCTCCTCGTTCACAATGAAGTTGAAGGGCAAGTTTCATTCACCCAAAATAAAGAGAACACCCTCAAAGAAAGGAAAGCAAGCTGACCTGACAGTGAAAACACCAGAGAAGTCAGTGAACAAAGTAAGCAAAGGCCATGTTCTGTTATCCTGATGGTTTCTTGCTTCCTGGTACTCAGTTTATCATAATCTGATGTGTGAATTTGTCCTCTGCATAATTCTGCAGCTCAGAGATCCTCAGGGCCACTTTATGGTTGCCTATAAACAGCACTGTGTAGTATTAAATCAAGATGTGTGCTTCCCTTTGGAGAGCATGATGAGACCTCCTTCCACAAGCATTTAAATATCTCATTATGGAACGTGGTGTATGGCCTGACACATCCTCCCCACACGCACACCCTGTGGGTTATGCTTACAGCTTCCAAAAAGCTGCCTGGTTTTGGGGTGTGATCCTTTCAAAAACCCCAGACCCAGGCCAGCACATCCTTGAAGCTGGTCCAAAGATGTGCTCAATCTCTGATGACACCAGCAGGGAGAGTCACACAGAAGTGTTGGAGCAGCTGCTGATCCAGCACCATGTTCCTCACACCAAATGTACTCCAGGTCCTCTAAGAAATGAGGTCACAAACTGATCTGTGTTATCTCCTCTCCCGTTGTGACCTGATTATGGAGCTGGAGACTTTTCTCTGTGACAACAGTGTTGCAGTCAGTTTTCAAGTACAAATGGAAGCCAGAAGTTAAGAACAGTTGAGGTTGTTTTGGATAATTAAACATAATTCTCAGCTGTTCAAAGTCTCACCCAGTGTGCAGCGCCAGACATGCAGAATTTTTCAGATTATCTCTGTTGAGAGTTGTTGTGGAGTTACTGAGAGCAGCCATCAAGATAAAGTTTTCTTAGGCTGTGTGACTTGCTTAACACCCAGAAAAGTCTCTGTAGCCTTCCTCACCCTATTCTGCTCCATCAGGTAGAAGATGATGACAGTTTTTTTTTTTTTTTCCCAGGAGGCTGTGGAAATGCTTTCTAGGGAGCCAAACACCTTTCACTGCTGAGTACTATTTAGAAATAAATATTAAAAAAACACAAAGCAACAGTGAGAGTACTCCTTGAAGGCTTTTAATTCCAATGATGTTTCAGGATGGTATCTTGAGATAATTTAGTGGCCTACTTTTAAATTGATGTGTGACCACATTAAATACATTAGAAAATGAAGAGCCTTTTTCAAAATGTGGTCTATAGCAAATGCATGTTAATAATAGATGAAGTCTTTGCTGTTCTATTTTTCCCCTAAAAACAGTGCAAGAGGATTTACTAATAAGCCATGCTGGACATTAAAATATTTTTTTTTGTACAGATTGGGAATTTTTAAATTGGAAAACAAAACACTTGACATTTTTTTTATTACTGTACATGATTATTTAATCTGCATTCATTTTTATACTGAGAAATATTGTTGATTTCTGGCTCATTCCTTACCTATTTTAATAGCTACTGCCCAACTAATCAATTAGTTGGATGTAGTCAGCTCATTTGCTTTAGTGGAGGGAGTGGGAAGAGGATGTGCCTGGACTGTCGCCAGGTTTTCTCACTGGAACAGACATCAGTTGACAAATGGGAGATCTTCTGTCAGAAGGCTCACTTGATAAACCAAATATCATCCTTTTCTCCCTCTTAACTATTTAAGATGCTATTTTTGTGCTCTTGAAGTAGATAATCACCGTAGAGCAGAAATAGCAATACTAAAAATTAATGTAAAATCATGATGTGTAAGCTGAAGGATATGCTCAGCTCATGCAAACATCATCATCTCCTGTTTCCCTTTATGTCTGGAAGGGGGCAACATTGGGGGTGTTCTTTCAACAGCCTCCTTTTGTCCTCTGAACCCTATCTCTGATTCTTACCCTGTTGTAGGACCAGGAGCATCCTTCAGTGTTATATACAGACTTATGATAGGTTTTACACTGCCAAAATTTAAGGAAAAAGAGGATGATTCCAGCTTTTGTAATTGGGTGTATTCTGTACAGCTCACTGTGACCCTTTCAGCTGTGTCTCATACATGATGCATTTGCAATTTGATTATTAAGGGAAAATTTCAGAAATAATCCAAAAATATCTATATGTGTCAGGCAGGGAGTGGAGAGATGCTGTTTTGCCTGAGTTGTAACTTTTTCCCATTTAATGCCTAAAAGAGATATGGGTGGCTGCCCCATCCCTGGAAGTGTTCCAATGCAGGTTGGACAGGGCTTGGGGCAGTCTGGTCTGGTGGAAGTTGTGGCAAGGGGATAAAAGTGAGATGAGATTTAAGGTCCCTTCCAACCCAAACCATTCCATGGTTCTGTGCACACCTACAAATGGTGCCTTTGGGCCTTGGGAGAGGATTCATTACAAAGTGCTCCTGGGGAATGTCACCCAAAGGACTAGCAGGGGGAAAAAAACCAAACAAAATAAAAACAAACAAAAAACAAAACAACAAAAAAAAAACACCAACAAAAAACCAAAACCAACCAAACAAACAAACAACAAAAAAAAAAAAAAAAAACCAAAACAAAACCCACCCAAAACAAGTGTCGTGTCCCAGCCAGTGTCCGGTGGCTGGATTCACATCCCTTGGTGTGCTCAGCGGAAGGATTTGTGTTTCCAGTTGTCATTCTCAGCCCTGAACTCTGTCAGGCCCATCCCTTCTGCACACCAGGAGAGTGTTTAAGCTATTAAGTCACAAGCCTTTCTACAGGAAACAGTTGTTGAATGAAACCCATAAACAGCCATGGGAGCAGGAACTGCAGTCTGCATTTTTTGACTACTGTTGGAGAGCTTTGACTGCTGGACCATGGTCCTGCTTACCCAGGGAATTCACAGACTCTCTGATCCCTAAATTGTGTGACCTTTCATATGAAGTGCAAAACCTTGGAAGAGGCCGAGGTTCTCCATAGATTAATGGCTGAACTCAATGATCCTGGAGGTTATCTCTGACCTAAATGTTTTTAAGATTCTGTATCCTAGAATAAACTCTGCAGTGGTGAGGACACATCCCTACAAAATGGGAAATGTCATTTTTTATCCCAGTGAGTTGCCAGGATGCTCCTCAGCAAGGGAGTTCAGGGCACTGTGGGCTGTAGATCAGGACTTGAGGTTCCTGGCAAGAAATGTTGTCCAAAGGGGAAGCAGCAGCAGATTTTGGGCACTGCCCAGATGAGATGGAAAATGACAGGGTGGTTTGCAATTCTTGGATTGGGACTTAGACTTCTGAAGTTGGAGCTAGATGGAACTTGGGATTCTAACCCTTTTATGCAACTGGCCCCAAATTACTAACCAGTGCTGTCTATAAATTGTTCTTCCTAAAACCTTTTGGGCTGCTGGTCTGATTTTGCAGAAAAGCAACAGTTTAACAGCTGACAAGAATATGGGGAGCACACAATGCCCATAAGTCATTAATTCCTGAAGTTGAATTTACTGAGGAGATAATGGATGAAATCTGTCTCTGCTAAGCTCTCTGCTCCTTTTCTAGCAGTGTTCAGTAGTTAATTTAAATCTCATTTAGAAACTACTTGTGGCCTTAAAAGTCCTCCAGGCATCCTGTTTTAAACTTTTAAGAACTATCACAGTCCAAAATGCCATTTAGGTATCATGTATCACTTCTGAATTTCCTCCTCTTGTGTTTGTGATGGCACAGAAATTAGTGACCACAACTCAGCTTTATTCCAGTGAATTGTTCCCTTCTGCAACATTCATTCACCAGTGCCAAAACTTAGCTTTTATAGTTGGCCCTCGTGGAAATTGTGTGAGTTCTCTTGTTCCAACAGCATCACAAAATGATTCAGGTTAGAGGCTAATCAGAGTGGAGTTTATTTGGGTGTTTTCATGTATTTTACAAGGACATGTAGTAATTGCACAAGGGGTGCTGCCTTTTAATTGGCAGAGGGCAGGGTTTAGGTTAGATAATAGGAAATTCTTCCCGATGAGGGTGATGGGGCCCTGGCACAGGTTACCCAGAGCGACTTTGGCTGCCCCATCCCTGGAAGTGTCCCAGGCCAGGTTGGATGGGGCTTGGACAGCCTGGGATGGTGAAAGGTGTTCCTGCCCATGGCAGGGGGTAGAGTTGGGCTTTATGATCCCTTCCAACCAAATCATTCTGTGAAATGTTTTTTCTTTCACTGGCCCAGTTTAGGGTATGGGTTTCAAAGCAAGAGTCCTTGATGTCATCAGTGGTGCTAATCTTAGCCCAAAACTGATCAAGATCAGCCTTCAGTTTGGAATGCAGGTAATTCTGAAGGTTAAAGTGAGGGTTTAATCTTGCACTACGGATTCCTTTGAAAGAGTAGTAATTCAATTTAAAGGTGTTTGCGGTAGAAGGGGGTTTTTGCACTCCTCCTGGAACACACCTCAGTGTCACCAAACTTTGGGTTTGTTAAAGGAACTCTACCCTTAAAAGTACTGAAATTTTAACATATCTCTCCTTTTCTTCCCTCCTCTTCAGAATGTATCGTGGCTAGAGGAAAAGGAGAAGGAAGTTGTCAGTGCCTTGCGCTACTTTAAGACTATTGTGGACAAAATGGCAATTGATAACAAAGTGTTGGAGATGCTGCCAGGCTCAGCAAGTAAAGTGCTGGAAGCCATCCTGCCCTTGGTGCAAACTGACCCACGCATCCAGCAAAGGTGAGTTTCCTTCTTGGGTTTTGGGACCATGAGAGACCAACAGGCTCCTGCTTTATCTGAGGAACCACATCACAAGAGAAGCTGATGAAGTGGCTGCTATTTTTACTAATTATGTGGTGGTTTTCAGACATCATTTGAAAGCAGATTCCCTGCTGTGAAAGAAGCTCATGCTGTGGAAAGATAAAGCAAATCAGGCTGCTTTCAGAGTGGAGGAAGGGATGGTTCTTAGCATAAACTTGGAAATTAATTGTTTTCTAGAGGGAGATTCTCTTCAGATGCTATTCCTGTTTCTGCAGTCCATGGTGGTATCCTAAAAGCTAACAAATCAATAGCTTCACCTGAAAAAGGAGTTTATCTTCAGAGTAATCCTTTTCTGTGCTCATTTTATCCACCCTGATATTACAGAAGTCTGAGCCTGCTCTCTTAACTGCTTTTTTTGGATTTTGCTGGATCAGATACAGAAGTAAATAGATGTACTTCAGCAGATTAACCAGTCCAAGTTCATTCCTGCCTCACTCAACAGATTATTGTTTTATGTTTTAACAGATTATGTCTATTACGTTTTTACCAGTTAGGCAGTGGGTTTGAAGCCAGGAAAGAAATAGAAATTTGGCAAAGCCAAGCTCAGCATGGTTTGTAAGAATTTGTGGTGTTGCCAAGCCACAGAGATATTGTTGGTGTTCATCCCATGGGTGCTGGAGCAATTGATTTGAAACAGAAAACAAACAAACATTGTTGAATAATACTGAAAGAGCAAAGTTAACACAGAGAAAAGCACAGAACTAAACAGAGAAATGCAGGTGTTTGGTTCCTGAAGTCCTGCCAGTTTTTGTGCTGTTCCTGTTTGTTTCTCATTAAATATCTCCAAATTTCTTTTTCTTTCAAGATGCTTATTTCAGTGCTGGCACAGGGAAGGTTTATAATGTAGTTGGGGTAGCACTGGGTGCCAAATACTTTGCAAATAGAGATGGTCAGTTGTGTTTGGCCCCAGTGCTGAGGCCAGGGCTGCTTCTGGCAAAAGGAAGGAGAAAATGGATGAGTATCACACCTGTGGCTGGGACAGGTAAGATCCAGTTGAGGCTGGATCTGTTGAACCATAGTGAGCAAATCTGTTAAAATGGGAATATCCTCTACACAGTGATAAATCTCTCTTTCTAGAAGCACTGTGCATTAAAGCACAGATCCCATGTCCATGGCCTGCCTTGCTTAGCCTCCCAAAAAACCCAGATGGGGATCTGGCTTTCTCAAAAAGCCATGTCCTGCTCTCCCTACCTTTGTACTTCAGTGGCAGGACACAAAGGGCTGACTCTGATGGCAAGAAAAGTGAGAAAGACTTGTGTCAGTGACAAAGAAAGCCCTATAAATATTGCTGGACTTCTTTTTACTTTAAGGGAAGCATTTGCATCAAGGAAAAAAGTAATTAAATCTTGCACAAAATGGGCTTTCAATTACTGCCTCAGAAGGAAGCAGACTGAAGATTAATGGCAAAGAAATCAAAGCCTTAGAAAGAGATGGGGAGGGCCCTGCTTAGGAACTATCTCCTACCAAGCTAATTTCATTTCAAATGAGAACAAATGGCAAGCAGCAAACCTTAAAAAAAAACCCCAAACAATCAAGTCCTTGCCATTGTTTGTATTCCCTGGTTGAAACTTGACAGTAGTTCTTTCCCCAGTCCTGCAGAGCTCATTCACCTAAATAAACTCATTGGAGCTCGTGGGCTTGATTCTTTTCTCACCGATAATGAAGTTACTGGAGTTAAGCCAATGTAGAATGGATACCAGAGAGAAATGGGAGGATTTGGAACAACTTGTATCAGTAATGATTGCAAGATTACACCTTCTCTTATCTGTTTATGGTTTTGATGCAGTTTGAAATTGATTTAACGTGACAAAGAATTGCTGAAGCATTGCCATCGGCAGAGCTGTTAACACACCTTGTTTAGTAATGAAGTCAGTGTTTTCAGAATGGCCAGGAAAATGCCTGGGAGCACTGTTGTTACAGTTAACTTTTATTTAAAGTTGTCATCCTTCCAAAAGTTTTTTTTTTCCCTTCAGAACAATAGATTAAATTCTGTTTCTCATTAAAAACAAAACAAAGCAACACCCTTCCTCTTTCAAACCTGAAATTCATTCAGTTCAGTTTCTCTAAAGAAGTAATTTTAATTACATGTTTTCAGGCATTATAAACAGCGAGGCAGTGATTTGTAAAGGAATTAATAGAGTCAGCTCTCAGTGGTCCAAGGTGGTTTTGGGGAGAGCTAATAAGGAAGAAGGATAATACTGAAATAACATAGCTTCAACTTAAATGTAGAGCTTTAATGCTTATCTTTAACATTTAGGCATAGGATGGAGCTGTAAATTAAGATGGAAAGAATTTTTTTTAGCATTGCGGTGTTAATCTGCATCCTAGATAATTCCTTCTGATACTTGGGGATGAGCTGTTGGTGGTTTGTACCTTCAAACTGTCATCATTTGGTGCTAGAGGACGGGAGAGCAGCTGCAGTGGAGGAGCAGCCTGAGCTTTGTCACCTGCTCAACACGAATTCTGAGTGTCAGAGAGCAAAGCAGTGAAACGCACAGTGTGAAACTCACTCTCGTAACATTCTAGAACATCTCCAAAATTTTTTTTTTTTTTTTTTTGTTCTTCTTTTTCAACTGCTCCCTCTCCTGCTGTGCAGTTCTGCCATCTCATCCTGCTACAGCCGAGTGTACCAGAGCCTGGCCAACCTCATCCGCTGGTCTGACCAGGTGATGCTGGAGGGGGTGAATTCAGAGGACAAGGAGATGGTGACAACAGTCAAGGATGTCATAAAAGCTGTTCTGGATGGAGTCAAGGTACATGAGACAAATACTGTAAATTTTATTATAAAGAGCATATAATAATGTATTTTTGAAGAGGTCTGTGTAAACTAGATTTTTAAGTGCAGGTAAAATATAAAAGTCCTATTTCTGCCTTCCGTAAACTACCACTTAAATCAACTGTTCCATAAGCAATGTTCCTCCTTGGAGTGCTAGTTAAAGACTAGCACAGTTTGGCTCTGAATGTGAACTTCTGGCATGTTCAACCAGGCATTTAGATGAATTGGAAGAAGCAATGGGTCTTTCTTCAGTATTGCATTGAATTTTCAGAGAGTCATTCCCAGTCTCCCATGCAGATTATGAGATGTGGTTTGCACATTTTCTATCTCAGCAAAATAAAAGGAAAATGCTCCCTGTCAATGCCCATAGAGAATGAAAGACTGCAGCTCCATCTTTTAAGAGAAATTCCAAGGGATTTGTCAGTGATACATCCCCACTCTAAGCAGCTGGATTAGGGTGTGGAAAAGGTGATGAGCTCAGCTCAGTTTTCTGGAGATTAGTTTTACATTGCTAATGGAACCGTTTAACAGAAACCTTTGTGTCCATTGTCTGACCTGCTCGTAGCATTCCCTCCCTGTTCCACCCTGGAAAAGCTCTTGGCTGCCCTCCTGCCTCCTGGGAAGGTTCTTGTAGCCATTATTTCTGTGTCCCAGGCTGTCTCTGGGCTGATCACTCACCTGCCCTAGCAGTGTTGCTAAAAGTTTGGTTGATCTGGGCTTCAGGAACCAGTGGACAGACTCATACCTCCTGGGAATCTTATTTTGGAAACTGTAGAGGAAGTTAAATCTCTTTCAAGAGCAGGGCTGAATTTAAAGGGGAATGTTTAAATCAACTGTACAAGGAAAATTGGGATAGAGTTTAAGAACTGCAGCAGGTGCTTCACCTGGAGTTATGCATCAGGAGCAGGTACCTTCCACTGTACTCAGACTCAGCTTTATTAAATGGAACCAAATGTAAAAATGAATTGGATCTCCCAAGCTTTGATTATCACATTTTCAGGCCTCTTGGTTTGGTGTCCGCATCATCTGGGTATCTCTTTAATGTCACTCAAACACAGATACTAAAATCTGCTATTAATTTACAAGCCTTTTAAATAAGTATCTTTGAGACAAATAATTTATAGCACCTAAAGAACATGGATTTTCTAGGATTATTTTGCACACTATGCTCTTTAACTTTAAGCTACACATTTTAAAAGTAAAGCTGATCTTAAATTTGCACAGCAGGAGAGAGGAAAAGAGTTTAGCCTAAAATCTCAGCTGCTGTTAGTGCTGGAATTCAGCAGCAATTTGCAGGATGTGAAAATCTGTGCTGTAATTTCCCAGCAAATGGTGAGTTATCACTGACTGAATCTGCACAATCCCAGGGAGAGATGTGTTATCCCAGATCTGGAACAGAGTTGTGTGGTCTCATGGCAGGAAACTTGGACACACAACTTGGGAGTTGTTCTTTGACTTTAAGCAATATTTAAACCCTTGGTACCTGTTGCCTTTCAGCCAGAGCTGTGTCTTCTGCAGACTGGGGAAGGTCTTGGAGGTCTGTTCATGAGCCAGCCCAGCCTGGGAGCACATGGACATGTCCATGGGCTGTGGAGCCCTGCTCAGCACCATGGCTATATCAGTCTCTGCTTTGTTTTTAGATTAAAAGTTATTTTGGCCTTCCAGTTGGAGCTGGCTGATGTCTGGCCAGCCTTAGAGCAGATGTGTGGCTGTCTGGGGAGATGGGAGAGTATTTGCCCATCAAGAGGTCAGCAACTGGAAGCAGCATGCTTTCACCTCCTGCACAGCAAGGAACAAAGTTTATTTTAGAAAGGCCAAGCCACATTTCAAATCTGGAAGCAGAACTGAGAAGATGGAGACTTCTCTCCACAGCAGAGCCTATTTGGTTTTTCTGGCAGATAACACACGATCCACTTCCACGTTTCAATGCTTACTTCTTTATTTTCGGAATTAAGTATAAAGGAGACTCTTGTTCACCTCTGTTACTTGATATTTTGATCTCAGGTTTTAGGGCTTTGCTAGGCAGGAAAAAAATTGCTTGGTTTGATTACATAACTTTTCAAAAATCCATCTCATTGTGGAATTTTCAGCTTGCTGAAGTAGCATAGTTTGTAGAGTGGCTTTAATTATCTCTAATTACTGCTGCAGGAATCTCTTTCCTTGTTGATAAGGAATAGCATAATGTGCATCTGGCTCAGTTGTGTGCACATTACCTCTGTGTGTATGCTAAAGATTTTGGCTTGATTTCCAAATGCTAGTTCTCATTTGGGGATAGCAGAGAGGAGAAACATTCAGGGTCTGGTGATATTTGCAAAGTTGGAAGGGGAACTGATCCTCTCAGGTAATTGCAGTTGGTGCCTCCACTGGAAGGTGCTTTGGGTTTTTTTCCCCCAGTCCTAATGATTTGAATAATTCTGAAGATACTTTTGAGCCAAATTGGATTGCTTTTCTCCTGTTTTAACCTGCATTCCCATGTGGTAGACCACTGGGTGTCCATTATGACTGGCAAAATAGGAAAATGGAGCACTTCAGTCCTGGGGCTCCTCAGCACTGCTGCAGCACAAGCCACCACCACGGTCTGCAGTGTTGGCCTGGCTTTGGTGTAAGGTGGTGAAGAAAGGTCAGGAAAAGGAGACATTACACTTTCCCTTCCATTGCCTTCTCAGGGGGTTGTTTAAGGAGTATTTTGGCTTTTGGTTTGATGCCCATACATTTTATTTCCCTTATTGTGCTCCTGCCTGCTTGCAGTCCTCGCTGGCTGCTACTCCAGAGACACACAGGGTCCAGCCCTGAGTCTGTTAAAGTGCATGAGGATCTCCAAAAACCTTGTCAGCACTGGAATTTTGTCAAGAGGGCAGAAAGGTGGCAATCCATTGAGTCATCACTCAGCCCCAAAATACCAAATGCAGCCAAAAGAGTCAAGTGATGTTACTCATCAGGACACTTCTCAGAACAGGCTGTTCCTCACCAGGGCTCTCAGTCCCAGCAGGGACATCTTCACAGTTTTGGTCCCCATGGACATCTGTTTGTGCTCCCTCTTCCCCCAGCCTGTGTGGGATGTTCCAGGACAGCTTCTGGAAAGCTGAGTTTTTGGGTAACACAGTGTACGTTCTGTGGAGCATAAGAGTGTAAGTAGAGCATGGAGACCAAAGTCAGCTGTGGTGGACACTTGGATGGTGTTTGCACTTTATTCCTTTTGTTGTGTTTGTGTTAACTTCAGCTTTCAGTAGAGCCTTGTGTAAAAGTGCCAGAACTGGAGTATTTTCCTTGCTCAGAGGGATGATGGCAGTGACATTCCAGCTACAGCTACTGCACTGAGAGAGCAATGCCAGTTGTTTCCAAAATCTACGGACAAGGACACAAAGATGATACTGGAATGATCACACTGTACTTCAGGCTGCTTAAAAAAATAAAATAAATTAAAATTGATCCCTTACAGTTTCCTTTGTGTAATATGCTGGGAAGCCAATAGTGGCAGGAAGCACTGCCAGTTTTCCAGCCTGCCTGTAAGAGGGGCATGTGTTTGTATCTGTGGGCAGGAGATCTATTTGTCAGACTGAGACATCCATGAAATGTTCTCTCTGTCTTTCTGGCGTGAATGATTGTTGCTTTGACTGCTGGCAGACTTAGAGTTCAGGATTATCATGCCCTTATCTCTTTATCCAGAGCTTTATCTGCCTCTAACAGATACTCTACAGTAGCTTCTTGAATGATTAAGTCTTCTATTGCTAATGTGTTAAAAGGTGGCTTCAGGGGAAGCAGGCCTGTTAAATGAAGGTGTTCTCTGTTTAATTTTTGGTTGGGCATTTTACAGAAAACTTGCTTTTTGAAACAAATACATTCTTATTTATAAAATGTAAAGCAATTATTTAATGTTGGTTTTGGCTAGATGAAGTACTCCATCGGGTAAGGCTGTTTTTTACTTAGATCTGTGTATGTAAAGCCAATTTACCATTATCTAGGATATTGTGTGGACTGGAACATATTTGTGAGACAGAGGAAAGAGGAAATACAGCAAAAAGACACACATATGGGTTTGTGCAGAATCCCCATACAGTCAGGGGTAATGAACTTCACTCAAATACTGCCAAAACTTCCTCTGGGTGCAGGCTGCTCCTTAGCAGCTGTTCTGCATCATTTGTGTGGCTCTGTACCAGACTTAAACCCAGCTCAGCTCTCTCTGTGTCCACACCATCATTAAACCATAACCAAGAGTTTACTGCAGTAGCATCCCTTTGTGTTCTGGGATGTTTAAGTGCAGCATTCAACAAATAGTGACTATTCTCTTTTTCTTCTCTCCATCCATCAGGAGCTGGTCAGACTCACGATTGAAAAGCAGGAGCATCCCTCTCCCACAAGCCCAGTTAAACCCAGTTTACCAGCATGTAAATCTGACAGGTGGGTCACTGATTTTTTCTGCAGGCAGGACTGATAGAGAAGAGATAATTTCTGACTGCTGAGAGTTGAGTTAAATATTCAGCTGTTCTTCACAGAGGGTGGTGGTGTTCTTAATGTAGCCCCCCATCTATTTCAGCAGGATTGCTAAAAGAGAAGATGCTGTGGTAGGAAAGACACCAAAATCTGGCAGTGAAACAACCTCTGAGTCACATGCACACTGAGCTCTGCATATACATGGAATTCCACCTGCAGATGCAAATTCTGCCTTCTGCTCTAGGTGCCTGTCTGATAGCACATGATTTAAAATAGGTTTGAACCTGTCAGGGCTGTGTTCCAGCTGTGGTTTATGATCTGCAATCTGTGTTTTGCATGTTGCAGCCCATCAGAGCTTCCCCTCACAGACCGAGAAATGGAGATCCTCAACAAAACAACTAACATGACTCAATCCAACGAGCTGCTGACTGACTCCATGGATGAAGAAGTTGCACCTCCTAAACCCCCTCTGCCCAGCATTCGTGTGGCAGAGAACAGGTAATACTGCCCAGCCAGCTGACCAGAGAACACCAGTATCCCTGTTGGTTTTTATACAATCTGCACAAGAGAGGAGGGTCAGTGTTGCTTTTGAATTTCCAGTCCTCCAGAGCAATTTTTCCCTGCTCCTGGACTCTGCTTTGTGTTCTGTCTCTCATATTATTTTTTGTGTCTTTTCCTTTCTTTCTTTTTATGTGAGGATAGTGCCACGCCCTGACATCCACGCATGAGAGGCATCACATAAATCCATAATAACCTCACATAAAACTGTATGATTTCTACACTGTACAAGTGTCTTAGGCTGCTGTATCCCATGAGAAATGTTCCTTTAACCTTGAGGGGCAGTTACTAATCTGTCCTGCACAGCCAGGTTGTTCAGCTTTGCCTATCAGCTTAAGAGTGAAAGCCAAGAGTGTGTGAAAAAAACCCCCTGTGCTTAGTTGTTCATACTCTGTTCTAAGAGTAACCACATGAAAGTTTCTGTGTTCTATTTTGAGAAGGAAGAGAAAACCCCCAATTTGCAGGTTTTTGTGTGTGTGTTGTTTTTCTTCTCTAGTACTGGTGCTAATGGCTGGTGTGAACAATACGTGTTGTGGTAATTTGAAAACGTGGCATCAAGGCCTGTGGCTGATAAAAAGAATCACATTTCTGTGTATTTCATGAATTCTCAAAGGTTATATAAAAATTTCGTGGTATGTTCCAAGAACAGACTCTGTGTGCTTTTGGGAACTTCTCAGGCTTGATGACTACCAGAATTACGTGTCATTAGAAGCAAAAGTTAAAAGTCAAAGGGTTAAACTCTCACAAGTTATTGTAAATGTGTGGGTCTGACACAGATTCATGCCAAAACGTGGGGCCCTCACAGTGCCCCTGGTGAGAGCAGCTCTGACCCTTTTGTTCCCTGAAGTTCACCAAGAAAGCAAAGACCAAAAAAGATAATTTTCCTGTCCTGTAAATCTGTGAAACTTTGAGCATTTTTCACATCTGGAAGGAAGGTTTGAGGAGGGGGAAGGACTTCTGTAAATGGAAATAATATTTGGGTCAACCAAAACATGTAATTTGGATTTTCACTGCTTTTATTAAGAAATAATTGCCATGCTAATTAGCACCATTCAGAATACTTTTAACAACATTTGTTTTAACAGCATTTGTTTTTGTTTGAGAAACACCAACCTTAAAAAATAATTCACTTAACAGGACCTTACCTGTGAGAGTATTCTTAAATCAATATTTTTAGTGGATACATTTTGCTGAATAGCTCCTGTCTGACAAAAGCTTTCTGGAAAACATCTTGTGAAGCCTCTGAAAATCTTTTTTTTCCTGGAAGAGTGATGGAAGCATCAATTCCTCTTGTGTCTTGCAGCCCTCCACCAGCATTGCCCCCTAAAAAACGTCAGTCTGCACCTTCCCCAACCAGAGTGGCTGTTGTGGCCCCCATGAGCCGAGCTACCAGTGGGTCCAGTTTACCTGTTGGGATCAACAGACAGGTAATGGCACAACCCCTTTGTGAGAGCCAAGGGGCTTTGTGTGCTGTTAGCTGCAGGAAGAGCTCAGGGAGTTGCTGAGAGCTGCAGGTCCCTGCCTGCAGTGGGAGTGGCAGTGGCAGAAGCAGCAGTGTCATAAATAATGTGGACAGCTTAATTTTATATTTTTTTTACAGTGTTGTTGTGTTTAATTAACAAATTGCTACAAACTTTGTTGCCTTGAGGGGTAATAGTGTGAGGATGGGAGTGACTGAGTCTTGCCATGTCCAATAGATCAGGGGGCAGCTGAGCTCCCTGACATCTCACCAGGGTTTACTCTGAGATCAGAAGTCTGTCTTCATCCAGTCACAATTTCAAACATCTTTTAACTCAAGCCATAGTTTGAGCTACTGCTCTGACCGCTGCTGGTGCTTTGGGGAAATTTGTACATTTTCTGATAGAAAAATGGGAAAGTTGTTTGTGTGTTAATCACATTCCATTTCTTGTGCTTGTCTGGGGTTTATGAGGTTGTAAATGGCTGGGTTTGCTTTACCCATTCAGGAACTTACTAGCTCAGCAGTGAGGACCTGGATCATATCAAATTGCATAAAAATCAAATCTTGTCCTCATCCCCAAAGCCTCAGCTTTGGCTTAGGGAGCCTCTGCAGTCATTTGGCTGACTCAGATAGAGCTGTGGCCACTCTTCAGTTGAAATTAGAGTCACACTAATGTTGTTCTGACAGAGTGGGAATAATTGAGGGGTTCACTCACAGGTTAATAAGCTTGAGGTAATTTCTGAAATGGGACCATCGCCATAGGCACAGAAAGTTGTATCTCACTGTAGTTTGTTTTCCCTTTGCATGCACCTGAGGTAACCAAGTATTTGCTGAAGCCCCAGGTATGTCATGAGAAATCTTGCAGTGTCATTCCCTTGTCTCAGTGTCATGACAAGCAGTCATCAGTCACGTAGCTGTGAAGAACTTGGTTATCTTCTCAGCATCTGTAAAGTCCAGTGGGGGCCCAGCAAGCCTTGCTTGAAATTAAGAACACACAGAGCTCCCTGGCATGGGCTCTTTACCACATCAGAGGGTTTCTGTGTCCTCCATGAGCTTAGAGAGGGCCTGCAGCAATGATCCTCTCCCCTCCTGTGAGGTCTTTGCTCCTCGAGCTGCATCTTCCTCACCAGCGAGCTGCCAAGAGTGATGGTGACTTGATGTTTTTTACTTTTTTATTTTTTGTCCCGAAGGATTTTGATGTTGACTGCTATGCCCAGAGGAGGTTGTCAGGTGGAAGCCACTCCTACGGGGGAGAGTCTCCTCGCCTCTCTCCATGCAGCAGCATTGGCAAACTGAGCAAGTCTGACGAGCAGCTCTCCTCTCTGGACCGCGACAGCGGCCAGTGCTCCCGCAACACAAGCTGTGAAACCCTGGGTAAGAGGGGCTGCTGGGGCCTGGCCTCTGCTCTGCAGCTGAGGTGCAGGAGGTGATGTAGTAAATGCACTGCACTTGCAGCTGCTGTCTTGGAGCTGCTGCAGGCAGCTCAGTGCAGAGCTGTTCTGTTGTCAGAATCCAGGGCATCCCTCTGGCTGCCCTGGCAGGGGTCAGGAACCCCCCTGGACAGAGCCCCCAGAGACACTGTCTGTGATCTCTGTCTATGGAAAAGAGTTTTCAATCTTACAAGATGAATTACCAGCTCTGAGTGTTTGATATCAGTAATAATTGTGTGGCACGGGTACAAAAGTAAAATTTTAGGGTTCTAGATTAGGGGTCCAAAGGGGACAAGCTGGAGGAAATTGGGTGTGTCTTGTCCTTTTTCTCCTTCTCCATGCCTTCCATGTCTCACTGTGGTGTTGGCATTTTTCTGTTGGTTCAGGCTGGGGACACACTGTCCAACGTAGGTGACAGATATTGGCACATTATTGTAAATGCAGCCCAGGGAGTTTCTGATATTTAATGTTTGTAACATCCCACTGAGGGCAGAGCCCCACATGCTGCCCTGCAGGACAGAGCTGGGCAGGGCAGCAGAACATGTTAGAGATAAACAGAATAAACAACCTGGAAACCAGCACAGACCAATTATGGCTTCTGCTTTGGCAGCGGGGCTGACAGACAGAGATATTCTACAATCTCAGAATCATCAATACCACAGATTCCTACAGAGAGGAAAAAGCCTAGGGGAATGTGTTTCCCTTGCTGTAGGTGATGGTTCTCAAATTCAATTCAGCTCTCAAGTGGAATGTTTTCTTCATTTCAGCCCTGTCTGCAGAAATTACAGTCCTGGTAGACAAAAGCAGTGCTGTTTCTGCATGCTAGGAAAGAAAATAAAAATATAAGTATGACACAAATTATGCAGCTGTCTACCTATTGAATTTTTGTTATTTGTTTGCTAGTGTAAAGAATTAATTATGAGTTATATGAAGTCTGTGTGTTAAAGAAAGTGTAAAAAGATAGTCCCAGCTGCAAGGAAGTTCCACTCTGATTAAAATGAACTGATTAATTAACTTAGAGAATAGGAGGGACAGAACTGAGAAGGGCTAAAGAGTAAAAGAGAGAAACTAACACATCATCCTCTGTTTACCCAGATCAATCGGATCACTATGATCCAGACTACGAATTCCTGCAGCAGGACCTCTCCAACGCTGATCAGATACCTCCTCAGGGGCCAGGCGTCCTCAGCCCATTGCCAGAGTCCTTGGGTGAGTCTGGCTCCCCTTTCCATGGACACACTTTCCAGCTGCCGCAGGGCAGCTCTCCTCCACTGGAATTCTGCAGCCTCTCGGGAGCAGCGCAGCCGACAGAGACTCCCCCAGCTCTGCCCGAGAAGAAGAGGAGGAGTGCAGCCTCGCAGACTTCGGAGAGCTCGGGCTGCAGGGTGTCCTACGAGCGGCACCCGTCCCAGTACGACAACATCTCCGAGGACGACCTGCAGAGCGCCGTGCTCGTCCCGTCAGTGCCCTTCACCCCCTTCGCTGCTGTGCTGCCTTTCCAGCAAGGAAACTCTTCAGCACCAGTGGAATTCATGGCTGATTTTGCTGCTCCAGATTCCAACAGTGACCCAGAAAAGCCGCCACCTCTGCCAGAGAAGAAAAACAAGCACAGTAAGCGAGTTCCTGCGTTTGGGTTTTGGTTTCTTGCCTTGCAGTTGTGGTGCTTCTGATCATTACTAAGTCATGGTGATGCTCTTAACTAGTTGAGTCTGAGTGTCAAAAGCAGTTGGTCAATATCAAAGATATGGAGGGGAAGTGGCAGTGCTGTGGTGGGCAGGGAGTGATTCCTGGGACCAAGATCAATCCAGGCCCAGGGGATCTGGAATCACACAGCTTCTTCATTACTGTAGTGAGATCTTGTTACTTTTCTGTTCACCTGAATGTGAGTCTTTGAGGCACTCTGGCTTGCAGATCTTTCTGGTCTGTTCTCCCTTTTTAAGTCAGTTCATTCCCCCCCTTCCTCAATTTTATTTTCCCACTGCAGAGGAGAGTTGGGTCCTCTCCAAGAGCTCAGAGAAAGGACTATTTTTCTGTCCAAAACCCAGCCTTGCCAGAGCAGTTCTTGGCAATAGGAGCACAGTCACCCACATAGCTGTGCAAGACAACACTATTAACTGGAGTCCAGTACTGCTGTTTTGCTACAGGATCTTATTTCCTTTGGATGCCTGAGAATTTCCCACATCATTAAAACAAGCAGCCTCTAAAAGCAAAGGCTCTTGTCCCCAGCCAGACTCCTGGCACACCAGGGCTGACCACATCTCAAGCTCACAACCATCTTCTGATTTCCTTAATGTTCATGGCTGAAAAATATGAAATCTCTTGCCAAACAGGCAGCCACAGTGCTCTGCCAGGGAAGGCTGTGGACTACACAGTGAGATCCAGCAGATATTGGTTTACTGGTCACTGGCTGCCTTTGCAGCTGTGTGTTGCATGAGGAGGTAATGTATACAATATCTGGAGGAAGAGCATTACATTGCATGGCTGGCTGCCCAAGAGAAGAGCTGATTTCAAAGTGCTGAGTTGGCCTTCTGGCTCCTTCCTGCAGTTTATAGACTTCTCACTGAGAATAATTTTTTTCCAGAGGGGTTGTGGACTCCCTGTCCCTGGAGGTGTTCCAGGACAGGCTGGATGGGACTCTGAGCAACCTTGTTCGGTGGAAGGTGTCCCTGTCCATGGCAGAGGGTTGAAACTGGATTCTTTAAGGTTCCTTCCAACCCAAACCAGTCTAAGATGCTGCAATTCTATGTGTAAGGGTGGGAGTAAGAGGGGTGTGTGGTGTCAGGGTGTATTCTCTCCATTCCTATGTAGTGTACTGCCAGTCACTTCTTTAAAAATATGCCTTGTCTAAAAGCATTTCCATTATCCCTGAATGACCTGTCCACATGAGTAACCCTCAGGGATTTTACTCAGAGCACAGGGATTGACCCACCTCGAAGTGAGGGTCATAAAAGTGTCCCCATATGCAGGAAATCTCTTTTGTTCCTCTCTGGTAATCAAGCAGTTAAAGACACTAAAATCAGCTAAAAAAGAGGATGAGATGGACAACAGAGAGGAAGTAAATAGGCACAGGCCAAGGTGTTATAGCTTGTGCTGTTCAAAATCCTCACCTGAAGCACGAGCTGCCAGGGGCTGTGATATAGAGCACGTTAGTGCAGGATCAGATCCTTGTGGATCTGCTGTTGCACCACTCAGGCTGGGATGGATGCAGGGAAATGCACCTCTGTGCACGTAGGCAGCTTCAGTGGAGGGGAGATTCCTGGGTGAGTCTTGGGTAAGAGGAAGTCTTGACATTTGAAAGAGAGATCTGAGTTGTTTGCTTGTGTCTTCAAGCCCCATGTCTTTGTTTTCTGGTATCACACAAGATGCCAAAAAGTTACTTGAAAACAAGTTTAAAAGCAATTTGCATTACTGCTTGAGCACAACTTTAACCTCAGTACCAAGGCCTTGTGTGAATCTTCTTTGATGTTGGATTAGAGGGAGTATTGATCAGATTGCATTGTTAGGAGAGGTAGGAGCTGTTTCCTAATGTGTTGTCAACGCTGATTTGATAAAGCATCCTTGCTGCAAAACTTGTTGGTAGTCCTGGGGCTGATACCTGACGGCTGCAAATGTTTTAGTTGCATTCATGTGACACTGAGAACTTGTTTTCGGTTGTTTTTACTCCACAGTATATCACACCATGGATTTGTGGTTGCTAGTTTTACTTTTTCAGCATTTAAAAGGCCAGTCAAACATTACTCAAGCTCTGTGGTGACACCCAGGATATTTTTTGCCCAGAGGCTGATGCATGTGGATATTCTTGTGTAATCACACAGCGCTGCTTCCACAACCTCAACAAGCTCCTGGGACCTGGAGGAGATGCATAGATTTGTTAAAAAGATCCAGAGATGGGAATTGGTTGTAGTGCCTTTGTTGTGGGACATCTCTTGGTAGCTGGCAGTAAGTGTTGCATCAGAGACACTGATGGTCTTTATTGGTAATACACAGAAGATCTGCTTGAGTTAACCTTGTGTATTGCTGTGAGCTGTGCTCAGAGGGACCTCCAAGAGTTGATTTCTGTATAATTTACACAGAGGAGTGATAGAGCTTTTAGTCTGGCATGAGTTATGGTTATTTTACTGTGCTGTAAGAGCACATGTTGCTGTGCTAAGGGCAAATTACTCCAGACTGCTGCTTGAGCACCAGCATCGTGTTCCTGCTGAACAAGACACAGACACGGAACAGCTTCTGCCATTAAGAGCCCAGAGTCAGAAATAACAAGATCCTTTCCCCAAACAGCTTGGAAACTACTGGTGAGGCACTTATTCACGTTTCCCTCGCTGTCAGTGGGAACAAAACGCAGCCTGGTGCCCAGTGAGCAGCTGGTATTTAACTGCAGGAACCATGCTGAGGGCAGGCTGGGCTTAGCCAGCGGATAATGCCAGCTCTGTGAAGAACAGCTCTGCTCCCAGAGGTGACAGCAATGACTGCCTCATTGACCTTGACTTCTCCACTGAGTTGCTGTGTGGTATAGCTTAAGAATGTCCATTATTTTGGCTCTTGCCCATGCACACAAATCTGTTGTGCCCGTGCAGGGCCCAGCTGCCAACAGCGCCAGGGTCGGGCTGGGCTGTCAGGGAGTCCTCCAGGGGGGATGCTGGTGTGCCTCACCTTACTGCAGGTGTGCCCTGGTGCTGATCATCTCCTAATTACCCCTTTGGACTCCAACAACCACTGGTTCTCTCCTGCAGATGAGGGGAGCAGGCTCCAGGAGAGCAGTACCTGTGACTTCTGCCATATGGGCAGAGCTGGTGTGTGCTGGAAATCCCTGAGCAGCTTTAGCTCCTTCAGAAATGACAGTCAAGGCACTGCAAGCAGATTGCTGGGAAGGTGTTCCAGCCTCAGTCTGAGATTTCATGGGTTTTTTTTTTATTTCACATATTTTCTGTCTGGGTTAAGAACTGACATAAACTGGGCATGTGGTGGGAGAGGTTTCTCTCTCACGCCTCCCTTCTCTCCCGGGGTGCTGCCTTGAGACTGTCACTCCACCCCAGCTGCTCACTGGGGAGTTGCAGCCCCCGTCCCTCCCTCTGCACAGTTGCTGCAGGGCGTGCAGCCTGAGCTGAGCTGCTGATGTAATTTCCCATCTGCTTTTAAATTTCTGCCTTGTTAAAAACCAGTGGGAAAGGGGGAGAGAAGACCCTTTGCAAACAGGAGTCAAGGGAGTGCTCTTGCTCTCTTACTCTCCTGTTCAAGACTGGCAGGATTTTAATGATGCCTATTTTGATTTGCACTCTGCAGTGCCAGGTTTGTATTTCACCATCCCAACTGATTTTCACTTTGCCTGCAAACCAAGATGACAAAGTAGAGGCAGAGACATGCTCACCTGCCCAGGACCAGTTGGAACAAGCCAGGCAGGGGAACTGCCATGACAATGGGATGCATTAGCCCCATAAAGAGCTGAGATAAAAGAGCTCTTCATTATTCCCTTGCAGATTGAGTTAAGGCTCCCGACAGCATTCAGGCTCACTGCCCTGAGTTGCAGTGATTTAATTTTACCCAAGTGTCTAATGTGATGCCCTTTTCATCAACACTTGTGAGCTGTGGTGTCATTGCAGTGCTTGGTGCTGTTCCAGGAGCTCTCAGCTATGGATCCCCAGTGGTGTCTGCAGACCTGGGTGTTCAGTGAAGCACTGCTTTGTGTAGGTGACTCAACACGAAGGGTTGATCTGGATTCAGCAGTCTCTGCTGCATTTGTGCCAGCTCTGCCAGGCCTGCCTTCTTGGCTTTTGTCCTGCTCAGTTGATGAGTTCTCAAAATGTGGTCTTTCCCTCAAGCTCTCGTCTTCTGCACTTCTGCAAGGACTCCTGATCCTTAGTTCAGTTTTGCTGCTAGAGAAATAGCTTTTAGAAGCCTTCTTTAGATCTTGTCCCCTGAAGTTGTTATATGATATCAAAGCATTTTCCAGGGCACAGGAGCACCTTAGCCAACTTGAAAGGACTGTTTTAGTAATTCTGTATTTCCTGCACCATCACCATGATTCCAAATAAGACAGTATTTCCAGAACATGCTTCCTTTCACAGTGAGGTTGTTCTGGGAAAGAGCAGGGATTCTGAGGAAGGAAGAAGGGCAGGCTCAGGTGGCAGGGAGAGCTGGAGGTCGGAATTCCAGCAGCTTTGGCAGAGCTGTGCAGGACTGGCTGTACTGCAGGACATGAGCAGGTTGTCCACTGGCAGGACTGAGGGGTCACAGGGTGGGGACAGCAGGTGTTACCGGTCAGGACTGAAATCCATCAGCTCCATTTCCTGTGCTCCCATTGCCTTGACCTGTTTTTTTTTTGGTTTTTTTTTCATTTTTTCTTTATTCTATTTTTTTGGAAGAGGGTTATAATTGTTTTGGGGAAGGGCAGCTGTGTTAACTCCCTTTCTAAATAGAGTTTAAAATATTAGAGGAAATCTGAAAAAAGGTGCCCAAGACAGGTGCAAAGCCACTCCTTCCTGCTGACACATTTGCAGGGCTGTATCCTGTTTAAAGCTGGCCTGGGGGGTCTGCCTTGGCAGGTGAACAGAGGACTTTGCTTTGCAGCCAGTGTGGGAACCAACTTCATGGTGTGCAAATCCTGCATTGTTCTCCTTGCATTTGTGGCTTTCACTGAAGTCATCCACTCCTTTCAGCTGTACAACTGAAATGCCAGCAGAAGATGAATAATGGCCACCGAATGACCAGATTTACAAAAAGTAACAACTGCTTGTTTATCAGGAGGAAGGGAGGGATGATCACAGTGCCTGGTGCATGACAGCATGTTTACAAGAAGGCCTTGGTTAGTCCTTCCCATGACACTTGTATCTGTTTCTCCTGCTCTCAGTTGTACAGAAACATTTTACATTATTCAGCACACTTTGATCCTTAATAATGGGGGTGGGTTTGTAGTAGTCTTTCTGTGGCACTGGATAGCATCCTCCCCCTCCAACACTAAAATTTGCAGCAGTAACTAAATTCTCTGTCAGAGCTGCCTAGGCTCACCTGTGTGGGTTTTTTTATAAATTTTGGAAGGTGTATTGTACAGATGGAAAGTCCTCTAGACAAGGTTTGATCCCATTTAAATTTCCATTGAGCCACATCTCACAAAAGCTTGTGAATCCACTGAGTTTGAAAACTGGAGATGGTAAGTTGCTTTAAAAAGGGATGGGAGCAAAGGGTGTCAGATTTGAGCTAAGGAGGTAGGAGCACGTGGATAGGGACACTTTTAGGAGTAATTACTTTGTGATTAAGTATTTTGTACCAGGATTGGCAGTGGCATTTAAACAGCTGAGGGAGAGGCACATGCAGTCTCACAGATAGGTGTTCTCTGATAACAATGGAGAATGGAGAATTGCTAGAATGGAGAAACACTGTATGCCTCCTTGTTCTAGAAATCTTGCTGACTGCAGATATGAGACTTACTGTGGTCACAAGAATTATTAGAGACTTATTGTCCAGGTTGCATTGTTACACTCTTAAAAAGCAGACTGACACCATTATGTTTTTTTTTGGTGACTTTGGACATTAGCTGTTGAGGAATATTCTCAGAATTACCATGGATTAGGTGAGGATTTGGGCTAAGCATCAGTGAATGAGACTTCTCAAGAGCTCACTGGTTCCAGAGTATTATCAGCTGTGTTTGTGGCCTGGGATGGTGCTTGTTGTGTGCTGGCTTGCAGGAGGAATATTTACATTTACAAGGTGGATGGCAGCTGTGGGTGCCCTTCTGAGGACAAGCAGCTGCCTGCTGGCCCTCAGCTGGGGTTTGCAGAGCAGGACAGTGAGTGTCAGCTCTCTTTGCCTTGCAGTGATGGCCTACATGCAGTTTGTGGAAGACTACTCAGAGCCGCAGCCGTCCATGTTCTACCAGACCCCTCAGAACGAGCACATCTACCAGAAGAAGAACAAGTACCTCAGGGAAGTCTACGGGATCAATGACTCCTTTATCAGCTTAGACTCCTCTCAAGATCTGGCACCTCCTCCTGCTCTCCCACCCAAGCAGCGGCAGCTGGTGAGTGACACCTCGGGGACACCCGGCAGGGCCACCAGGAGCAGCTCTGCTCTTCTGCTCCTGGTTCTGACAGGCAGAGCTGGTGGGAGGATGTCTCACTGGTGTCTCACATCGTGCTCCTTGGCAGCTTGTGAACGTGGTTTTAGGCATTTTGCATCGTGTGTGGTTTTGCTGCTTTCCGACTCCACGTTCGGACCGTTCCCCGTAAGCTTTGAAAGTCCTAAAATGCCCTAAAAATGAAACGTTTGTCTTCCACATGGCAGGGCTGAATCTGTGCCAGGCTTGTGTAACGACAACTGCTTGGAAGATTTTGACACACTGAGCAACACTATTTTCAAGAGGTTGCTGCACTGTTGTTCCCACTGCTGTTTTGAAACTGTTGTCAGAGATGCCACTAATAATAACTGTTTAAACAGAATAACTGCTGTTATGTTGTCATGCACAGACCTTGGGTACAGCCACTACCTCACTCATGTTTCCTTCACCCTGGTCCCCTTGTGTGAGTGAGGATTTTACCTGTTTCTCAGTGTTCTGCTGGCCCCCAGCCTGCCAGCAGGGAAAAGCACATCCACATGTGTGTGGGTGGTGGGTTTAACAGCACAGAAAGGGCCATTTTCCATGTGGGGAATAAAATCCTGACCTCACTGATGGCAGCAGCAGTTTTGTTTCCAACCTCAGTGGAGGGTGGAATTTTGTCCCATTTCCTTTAGAGGGTTTTCATTTAATTTCTTTTCTCTCTCTCTTTTTTTTTTTTTCGCCAACTCCAACCCAAGGTATTTTGTTTATATTAATTATCTTATTTGTTCTGTTTAAAAAAAAGATTATTTTGTTCTGATGTAGCTTACTTAAATTGGCCATGGCATTAACAAAATGGGAAGAAATGTGGGAACAGAGCCATAGTCTAAGCATTGTGAGGGTGACTCTTGCAATATTTCTTCATATTGTACGTGCCCCAGAGTGTTACTTTTTAACTCTAATTTTGGGATTTGCATAACTACATTCCTGTGATGCAAGTAGGAGTCGTAAAAAGATAAAGTGACATTTTTGGCTAAGCTAAACTGAGTATTATGCATTAATTATTTCTGGGGACAAGACCTTAAATGCTGGCATCCCATTTGCTTTGCAGGGATACTATAGAGTCTACAGGACTCATCTCTGGAGGATCAGGCAGTTCTCCAGGGTCTGTGGTCCCCATCAGTGTGACCCTTGCACTGTCACTTGTACCTTGCAGTCCCTTGCCTGCCTTCCCCTCCTGGAGGTGGCTGCCCTTCAGTGACATTTCTAGAGGTCACTTGGGCTGCACAGTCATGGTCAGAGTTTGCAAAGCACAGATTTGCTGCAGCCATTGTGCAGAAGGGAAATTCTTCTCCTGTCCTGAATTTGATGGCTGAAGTAAAGCATTTCTTTGCCTCCCTTTAATCATTTTCTGGACAGCCAAGATGTCACTGCTTTGCCTGCTGGCCATTTTTGTCATTTTACAAGCTGATACCATCAAGGTGTTGCTTGCAGTTCCCCTGAAGCAAAGGTTTCTTCAAGTGCAGCCTCCCTCCCTTCATCCCTCTGTCGGGAAAGAGGTGCAAGCAGGTGATGGCTTATATGCCACAGTCCCTGTAAAAGCCACCACACTCTTGTTCCTCTGCTCCTGCTGCCCTGGGAGATTTTATTTGGCAAATCAAATGGGAATCAACTGCTCTAGGAGCAGCAAGTTTTGCTGGATGGACTCTTCTGTAATCTAATAATGAGGAAGTCCTTTCTTGTCAGCTTCAGATCTTAATCAAAAATAAGATTGTATGCTTACATTGTATGTTTTATTCAACAAGTCTGAGAAAGCCTGAATATACCTTATCCTCTCTCAGTCTCCTTACCGTAGGGGAATTCAGGAGAAACTCCTTGCCAGGATTTTTCACTTAGGGTGTAATAGCTGCCTCCTGTGCAAATGATTATAATCTTGGACTGGACAGAGAAATGGCAGGATGTCACTGTCACCCAGTCTCACAGCAGTACCAGTGAGGATCCACTGGAGAGGCCAAGTTCCCAATCTGCAGGTTGCCAGAAAAAAATAGTAATGTGCAAGAAGTGTGTGCTCAGAGGCAGTTCCTCCTTTGGGTGTCTGCCCCCACGGCAAGGGGACAAAAGGGCAGCCAGGAGCAGCTTGTCTGTGCCAGCAGCAGCTGTCCATGGGTGAGCGGGGAGGGGGAGGCAGGAGTTCATTTTTTAAGGGATTTGTGAAACAAAGAAGATTTGAATTGTGATTTTTGTCGTGCCTCTTGAGCTCAAGGAAGGGATATTGGTGTGTCTGGCTCTGATGAGCTGCATGAATAGCTGTTTGTTTAGCCAGCCATTATATGCATTGTTTTACAGCTAGCATTTCTTTCCCTTTATTCATCACCTTTTCTGTGCTCTCTTTCTCTGTGTCTTGTGTCTCCTGCTTTCTCCCCCCTCCTCAGCAGGCCTCCTATGCTGCCTCTTCTTTCTCTTCTGTCTCCTACTGTGTCCAGCAGCCTAAAGTGCCCTTCACCCCCGAGGACTGCGGTGCCACTCAGGGCCTCACTATGTCAGTGTCTAACTCCTTTCTGAGCCGGCACAGCTCCTTTCCTGTGCACTCGGTGAGTTCTCTGCGCTTGGAACACGGGGGTATTGTCTTACTGCTCATCCCTGCTGTGCCACTTCTCTGCTTCCCTCTCAGGTCAAGGTGGAGGTTCCTTTGGGGGCTTTTGAACTCCTGTAGTCGCCAGCCAGGTGGGAGAAACGGTGTGTAAATCATCTCACCAAGTGTAAATCTCACCAAGTGTAAATCTCACCCAGTGAAGCCAGGGCAGGTGTAGCTTTCTTCACATGATGTGTCCATGTTGACATTTGTGGCAGGGGACTGAGGAAGGAGAGCTGGCCCGTGTGCCCAGGCACACTCCTGTGACCTGTGTGTGCCCCAGGCTGCACATTGGAGCTGCAAAGTATTTTTTGTCCTATTGCATAATGCCAGTGATGTGGATGAGTCAATTAAAGGCTGCTGTGTGAGCTTGGCCTTGGGAGAAATAACAAGATGCTGTCCCCAAAATCCATAGATTTAGTCAAACATGTGGAACAGGGGCTGCAGCTCTTTAATTTTTTATTTCTAGAAAACAGCCTCTACTGGATCTTCCACCTCATTTTTGCCTGTCTGCTTCCCTTCACATCTCCATGGTCCCAAACAAGCTCAGTTTGCCTGTATGGTTTGCTGATGGATGAGCAGGGTTTTCTCTCCTACAGCACTTGTGAGCAGCCTGAAGAGAAAATGGCAGGAGGAGCTGGAAATAATTTAAATCAAAGTAGTATTAGAGCACTGCTTAAATCTCTGATCAGCTGCTTAAATTAAATGGTAGTAATAACAAAGTGTTATTATAATGAAATTAAACTCAGCCATGGGATTCCACCAGCTCATCAGTGTGGGGCTCGTTTTCATGTAAAACTATGTGGTTATGCTCTGATTGCCATGTGATGACAAGTGAGAATACACTGGTTTTTGACAGTGACCTGGATGTTTAGTAAATTAGTCTTCTTCTGGAGAAGAAATTATCAGACAAGACTTAAGAAGATTCCAAAGTGTTCCATTAGTTTAATATTAAATGTTTGAAAACAGTATCCTCCCACTGTGCCACTGCTATCTTCCCATTTCAGCACTTACTCATTCTTTAAAAATTAGTGATAATCACTGGTCCAAAGAAGAAAGTATTCAAGTGCTTTACAAGTAGAGCTACTTCACAAGCCATGAATGAAAGCTTTTTGCTTCTACTTGTGTGAGAGAGAGCAGCTTTGCTGCACAGATGAAAAGGCTGAGGGGTGGCAAGGTTAGTGTCTGCATAAATTTGTGGTAAACAGTTCTGAAATTTGAAGGAAAAGTCCTGAGTTGTACAGCTCTCTTACTTGGTAGTGGTCCTTGCTAGCAAAACATGGAACTGTAGGACTAGATAAAAGTATCTGACTATTTTTGATTTAATTGAGAGGCTATAAATATGTTCTATAATGTTCTAAAAATACGTGGGCACTTTGATTTAAAAAGGCGTCCTTGTTGGATTAAATGGTTACTACCTATTAAATTGCTCTGACCCATTCTCATCTCACTTTGGACTACATTACTGTGAATATATTATTTTAAGAAATATTAAAACTTCATTAAAAAATCCTTCCTCATTTTTGCAAGGATTTGGTGAGGGGTAAAATAAATGGCTGGAGCATGAGGAACAGTGAGAACAATGAGACAGTGCACTGTCAAATGCACAAAGGAAATAAGCTGAATTAAAAATGGTGATTTTTCCATTAGTGCCTTTAAATTAGGATAATTCCATAATTTCATTACTTTATCTGGTCTATTTTTTCACATCCAAAAATGAGATTTTCACTATGGAAGTGTCTCTTTGAGCTACAAAATACCAATGTCCTTACATGCATCATAGCTGACCCATGTAATACCAATATTCCATTTGCCCTATCCCTAATAAGACAGAGATGTGACACAGCTGTGGGGGTTTGGATCCCTCCCAGGGTGACACCCTCCATCAGCACTGGAAGGAGCAGAGCCCCTCCTGCAATCTGCCCCAGGAGGTTTCACTCAAGGGATGCCACGAGCTGCACCAGGAGCATTCCGCCTGCTGCTCTGCTCCTCGTGTGCTCTTGTCTTCATTTCTCCTCTCTCCCTAGAGAAAGGGCACTCAAGTGAGTGCTGGTGAACAATAAACCTGGCAAAAATCAGCATTAGCTGCCACCAGCCCCAATGAGGGTGAGCACACCTTCCAGGCACTGCCAGCTGAGCACTTGGCCTCTTGTGTACCCAGCTAGCAGCACTGGCTATCAGATCTCCTAAAATTACATGTCTCCAATGTAAACTGTTCTCATTCTGCACAGGAAGCAAAAACCTCCTTGGATCAATAGCAGGAATTCCGAGCTGTTCAACTCGATGGCTGTCCACTGACCCAGTGTCAGCAAGGCTCTGCAAGTGTAGCCAGTTTTCTGAAAGTGCCCTGTGATTGTTTTCCTTCCCTGGAGGCTGGTCTAGGGAGGCCACAGGAGTCATTCCCAGGGAGGACCTGTCCCTGTCCCCATCTGTTCCCATGCCAGCAGCAGGCAGGCCAAACCAGCGCCACGTTCTGCTTGTTATCCCCTTGGCTCTGGTGAAGGATTAGTGCCTTACTCCTGATTTACATGGCTTAACAAGACTGTTTTTCGACAGCAGAAAAGAGGTGAAGTTGTTCAGAGCATCTTTTATTTTTTAATGGATGAGTTTTTCTAGAGCCCTGACTGCTTTCTCTTCAGTCAGCACTGCAGGGGCTGTTGCAGCCCAGCTGCCACTGCTGCTCTGTCAGCCCACTAATTGTGCTTTTCCCTCCTTTGCAGGAAATTGTGTCAGAGGTAATAGCTTTTACTGGATAGAGGCAGATCTTGAGCAACTGGATCAGACCTCATAGGTTTGGCAAGTTGGGCTGTTTTTTATCCGAGTCTGACTCGTGTCTGGCCTCTGTGCCAGCAGGGCTTGTGTTGGTAGTGTGGGCTGGTGTTTTAAGGAACTGCATCATGTTCCCCATCCCATGGACAGCTGAGCCATTAAATCCCACACTGGGGGGACAACTGTCAAGAATCATTCAAGGGATTCCCAACTCTTTTGAGAGTTCTAAGCAGTGGGGAAGGAGCTTTTCAACAAGAAGGCATCATCCTTCTGTGGCTGGCAGCAGTTTCTCTCCAGCTGATCACCTCCCTCCCTTCTTGTGAGCACAGAGCTGTTGTCCCGTGGTTTAATCAATCCTTGTGCTGTTTGCCTGGAAATGGGTGGGCAGGTATCCGAGCAGCAGGAATAATCAGATTTTGAAATCCAGTTACTTCCTGGCAGCTGGAGAACTCTGCAGTGGGAGAGGAAATATTTCCTGCAGCAAGCTCCACTGCTGCCCATCCACAGCTTTTGCACCAAGGGCTGCAGAAAGTCTTGTGGAAGCCTTTCCTCACTGAAACAAGGAACAGTTGAATCTCCAAGGCATGTACATGCCATTAGTGGAAATTTGGCTGCGTCCTTCACTGTGGAGGAATAAGTTGCCTTTCTCAAAATGTTGGGTTTTTTCCTATATTTTCTTTTTAATTAAGAAACATTTCTGGTAATTTACCAGAAACCAATTGGCTGTCAGGTTCCAGCAGAAGGCGCAAGTGATTTCCTTATGAAAGCTCCAGTTCAGCGCTTCTGTTCTCACTTGTTCTCACCATTCTTGAGCAAATTGAGCAAGTGCACAGAAAATTCACAGCAACTGTTCTTCTTTCTTGTGTGTTCACAGCAACTGTTCTTCTTTCTTGTGTGCGTGCTAACGTATGTTCAGGAAAAGGGGGGTCAGATAAGTGATTAAAGGCGTGCACGATGCAGCCATGTGCTTCCCACGTTTTTCCTGCCTTGTTCTTATTCCTGGAGCTCACTTCCAGCCTGCAGCACACACCAGGCTCTGGCCCTCAGCAGAGACTGAGCTGTTTCCATTCATATGGTGAGAGCCTCAGTTGAACCACAGCTGGGAAGTCATAACGTGTTTGCTCGTTTCTGTCCTAAGGTTTTGGGTCCTTAATTTGGAGCAGAGGGAAGGGGGATTGAAAAGTTTGCATCCCTTTAACCAGCTGCTCTGACTTAGGTATTGTTTTGCCTTTCCTGTTTAGCATTCTTTCTGTGTTTGTGTTCATTTCCACTGCCCGTGGCAGGCCTGGACACTGACATTAATAGTGCTGTTGCCTGCTGGCATCATTGGATCTTCTGGGGTGGTGGAAACCACTTCCTCTGGGGGTTCATACATTTTCCTCGCAGTTGGAACACTGCAGGTCTCTGTAGATCTTTCTGACCAGTCCCATGTTGACTTCATAGGCCACACACCCCATGTTTTTCATGGACTGATCTTTTAGAAGTCTTGGTCTCCAGATTCTGTCTTTTCCATATCTGCCATCTTGATCTGGGGACTTTGTCCACAAGCTGAAGAGTTGATGCTGTAGGTGCAACAGAATTGAATTCTGGTATTTTCCAAAGAGGGATGCGTGACAGCATGGCTGATAAATCTTACAAAGGTTTTCTTCCCCTGCTGCCCCCTTATTTATTCTGTTGCAAAGACGTGCAGGAATCTCTCCTCCATGAGGAAAAGTTTGGATTTTGTGTTTTCTTGTGCAGAAGCCAGGAGACACAAGAAGCCCCATCCATCCCTATACTGTGGTTACCATCAATTAAAACCAGGGAGGTCAGCTCTGCAGCCAGGTCAGAGGCCTTGCTGAGAAACATTCCAGCCTGAGGAGTTGCTGCCTTTCCTGTGGCAGTGCTTGAAGCCATTCTGTTGGCAGCTTGTGTTTCCAGCCATTCATTGCAGGAGCATTTCCTTCCTCATTAGCAAAAGTACCTGGAAGCCCAGCATTGTGTTATGAGATAGGAAGTCTTTTCAAATAGTTGTCTGTGCAATTATATTCTTAGGGTCTAATGACTTTGCAACACCCAGTATTTTGTGAACATAGTTCTGTACTGTTACAATTTGGGCATCCAGTTCTGGCACATTGCCCACATAGTTCCCTTATTAACATTAGCAGAGATCTAAAAGATTGATCCTTTCCTCTGATAGCTTCATACTTTGGGAATCTGATGCTCTACCTGATCTGGGAGTGTCTGGCAGGATGGCAAATTCATTTGGCAGAAGTCCATAGGGTAACTGAGAAGGCTGTGCTTAAAAGGTAAAAACTGTGTCTGCTGATGCTGCAGATGCTCTCTCAGCCATATAATTGAATTCAGCTTCGGATTTGGGCTGGAGAATGCTGAAACTTGCAACCACTGACTCTCTGCATATATACCCCTGTCTCCCTGTTAGCTGTGGTCAGCCATGCCTAGTGAGTGTGAAGAAGCATCTCTCCTGAAACAAGTTTTAATAGAAAAAAGTGCTTGTGTCCTGCCATCTAATTCAAATAAACAGCCAGAATGTCACTGACCTTTGGGACATCCTGGATCAAGGCTTCTAATGATGGAAAGCTGTTCTGAAATATTCACAGTTGCCAAAAATCAAAGGCAGCAAATTGAAAAGGTTGAAAGATGCTGTCTCTGGGAGACCTCTGTGTGTCACGGTGTGTGGTAAATGTTCAGGGCCAGGCACGTTTGCTTCCTGCTGTTCCCAGGAGATGAGACTGCTCCCAGCTCAAAGCTGGCTTTGTGCAAGTACTTCCCAAGTGGCAGAGAGGTCTTTTTGAAAACCCCTGCTTGGTGAGCACTTCCCAAGTGGCAGAGAGGTCTTTTTAAAAACCCCTGCCCTGGTGAGAGGAGGGGGAGCTCTCTCTGCTCCCTGTCTCGGCCGTTTGCTGTCACAAGTCCTGGTCACTCATGCTGGGACCCACTCTTCTGGTCCTGTGGTGGGAGCTGGCAGTGTGGCCAGAGTTTGGATACAGGGAGAGCATCCTTTCCCACAGATTCCTGTTGCACCCTGTTTTGTAGCTTTCCCAGAAGTTATTTGGAAGTACTTCACTTAAAGCAAAGCCATGGAGTAGGAGGTTGTGTCCGTGAAGCCATAGCCGAGGCCTGACTGACCCTGCAGGAAACCTCTGAGAAGCTGATTAAAACAAGCACTGATTTGTTTCCAAGATAAACTGTTGCCTCTTGGGGGGAGCGCTGAAGGATGGCTCGTTTCCTTGTGACAATTGTGTTGAATGGACTGTCCCCTCCCCAAAAAGTATTCATTTTAGAGGATGACAAGGCTTCCAGGAGATGGACAACACCCAGATCCCATGGAAGCCATTGCTGCAATTCCTGGGGCAGCTGCTGGCTGGGCTGGGTCAGGCTGGGGAGCAGCAGGAATGGGTGCCATATGGACATCATCTCCACTGCAGGGTGGGTTTTTTTTACCCTTTGAAAAGTATGCTTCACTCTTGGCTCTTATCCCAGCATGGCTGCATAGCTGGAATTCCAGAGCTGCTTGCAGGCTCCAGAGGAAGGAGGGGGCTCCCTGGCTCCCTTTCTAAAAGATGCAACTTTACAAGAAGATTGGAAGTTGAGAGCAGGCTGACTAATTAATGCCAGCACACCAAAGGCTTCTCTGCACTGTTCCCTTTGTTAACGGCATGCTGAGAGCCTGTCTGCATCCTTAAATGATTGTTCACGGATCACATAATGAAGATTAATGCATTTTCATGGGCACCTGGCCCTTAAACTGGCATTTTCAACATATCTCATGCCAAGAAGTTGTTCTGAAGGTGTATTATGAGACCAGGGAGAGAGAAACATACAGTGATTGTCAATACTGACTTATCTGCATTCAAACTTCTAACATTTCTTCAGTGTTGTTATATTTAGGTCTAAATTGCCTTCAAATTAGGATTAATGTGTGTGAAGCTCCTCCAGGCAGGAGCTGTGCAAATGTTCCTGCCCCAGGAGCAGTAACTCATGTCCCTGAGCTGCTGGTGCAGGCAGGGAAGTCTGCCCTGAGCTAACCCTGCCAGCGCCTCACGCAGGGCTCTGCTTGTCCCAGAGTGACTTGGCTGAGGACAGTCATTTCCTTTCACTCCTGCCCTGCGTGAGCTCCACTGCTGCTTTGCAACAGCCTGGCTTCTCCTCTGGGTTCAGCAGGTCAGGGACAAAACCCCCTGGACCTCCTGGGTGGAAGATGTCCATCAACTACAAAGTGAAGGACAGCGTGTGCCGCCTGTGTCATGGGGGTGCAGGAAATCCAGCAATGGGGGAGCTGGCACAGGGCTTCTGCTGGAGCTAATTATTTCCTCTACAGGAGCAAAGGATCTTCTGATCAGCACAGCAGTTTTTTTGAGTGCCTTCTAGAGCTGTTGAGCAGTGGTTTGGGGTCTAGGCTGGGACTTTGGGTGATCATTGGAATATTAGTGCCAGTGAGCTCATGGAATACCAGGCAGGCATAATGAATCTGCTGAGCCAAGATGATGTCATGAGCCCGGCGTCTTACGAGGGATTTAGTGGTTTGTGCCGTGCAAGTGAAAATGAATAAATGTAGAGCATTTATCCAGGCAGAAAGTAAATACAGAGATTAGACTTGTCATTGTTACTGAGGCAGCTCCAAAAGCTGACAGTGTCCCTGGAGCCGGCGCTGCTCATCCGGAAAGAAATGGGCAGGAAGAGAGAGGAGCCTGTCCTAGAGCCAGTCTCCTTTTAGCCACAGACACATGGAGGGGATTTGCATTTTAATTATTTTTCAGTAGTCTTTTAAGCTCTCTTTCCAAAGCATCCCCCTCCTCTCCTCTGTATTATGGCCTGCAATTTGTTTTGGGCCCTGAGAATACACCCGGAGCACTGCTGGACTCCATGCAAGGCACAAGGCACAGCCACTCAAGGATTAAGGTGGTGGAAGGTAAAGTCTCCTCGTTGACCTTTACATTTCCTTCCCTTTGTAGTGGAAAAGTTTTTTTTTGACCAGGCTTCTGGCCTGAGGCTGTTCTCAGTTTAAATTTTTAAGCCCACACCTTTCCTAGGTAGAAACAAAAATACCACTGCTGAGCTGGGTGCTGCTGCTGGGGCTCAGGTGATGGACTAAGCTTTGCTTTTTCTTAACTGCTCAACTTTCTTGGGAAATTTTGGCTTGATTTTTCCATTTCTGGCTTTTGTTTCTTTTTTTCTACATCACAGTGGTGTCACTTTTCAGCCTGGTTTGAGCAAGTTGTGTCAGTGCTTCTTGAGAGCTCTGTACTGCACAGTCCTTCTGCAGCAGATCCCTCAACGGAGCAGCACCACAACTGTGTTCCAGCCTGGGGTTTTTTGGATGATGTGATTCTTCTTTCAGTCCACTTCACTATGACCAGCTTTGCAAGTTTTAAAATAAACTCCTCTCCAGCAGATTTAGCATTATTGTCTTTTTTTTTTTTTTTTTTTTTAATGGTAGTCAGCTTTGTTTTGGACTTACCCTGATGGCAAATCTTACTAGCACCAGATGTTAAAAGACAGAGGGCTGCTCTTGTTTTTCTTGGCACAATATATTCCCACTGCACCCTGTTTAATATTATCTGAACAGTAATCTGATGATTAGGAGAGATAGTGAAAGAAAGCTTTACGCAGATGATCTCTTTTCATCTCTTCAGCTGACTCTTCAAGGCACTGCATTAAAGGATTGGTTTGATAAGGAATTCATCACTCCGGAGGGCAATTACCATTTCTGCTCCCTGTTTTTCACGAATGGGAAGGAGTAGCAGCATAATCTCCTTTATCCTTCAGTGTAACTTTGAAGGCAGTATCCAGCCACTCCTCCCTGGGAGCTGTGTGTTCTGGAACAGACTTGACACAGTAGCTGTTAAATTACAGGGCTGGAGCAAAAAGCATCTTAAATTTGGATCCTGTGGAAAATCCCAGAAAAGCAATAAGCGCTTGAAGTAGTTTTCTCTATGTCGATACTTCCAGCATGCTCAGAGTTGTGCTTTCTGTGTGCCTTCACATCCTTTCCTCCACTCAGGTGATTTTCAGGGTCACTGCAGTAGCAGTTCTGAGCTGTCCAGGTTTTGCCCTGCCCAGCAAAGGCTGGATACCTGCAGGTCACACCTTGCTGCTCACTTTCCCTTGGTGAGATGAGCAGCCAGGCTGCTGGTGGTGCAAGAACACACCTCTCCAGGAAAAGCCTGGCTGTTGTATCTCAGGTAGCAGTTCCTGTTATAACATGTGGATAGTAAAATAGTGCTGCCTGTGTTAGAAATGCCTTGTGCTGTCACTGCTATGCTGCTGCCAATCTAATTACTTTTTCTTTTGTCTGTGTCTCTTTCCTTTCCCCGTCTTCCTTGTTTTTGTGTTGTGTCTCTGCGTCCCGCAGTACAAATCTGTGTTTAGGTCCTACTCCCAGGACTTTGTGCCTCACAACCAAGTCTCCATACCTCCTTTCCTCTCTTCTACCTCCACCTCCTGCTCCACCCCGCCTTTCCCACCCGTCCATCTGTCCCAGAGCCCCGACCTAGCGGTGCCCGCTGCAGCCAGCCAGTCACCCAGCACTGTGGATGTGCCAAACTCCTCTTCTCAGGAGAGCAGCTTTAACGGGAATGCTCCTGTCTGCCTTCCTTCTGAAACCTCTTTCACTGATTCTCTCCAGACGCCTTCGGTGAGACTATCCTAAGGGATGATAACGCACCTTAACGCAAGGCTGCCTTTATTTGGTGGGATTTTTCTTTTGAACAAAATGTCTCTTGTATTGATACATGCTAAATTGTGGTCTGGTCTGGTTTCCAAATGTGTGTGAATCTCAAAGAAATTTCATATAAAAATGGACAACCTCAGCAGGTTTTAGAAAATGTTACACGTGTGTAGGAAGCACAAAATGTCAAATGCTGGTGAAGGGGAGAGTTGGCTGTAGCTTCCTGCAATTGTAAGATAAAGCTGAGGGAGGTAAAGGAGTGTTTTGTGAGGTTGGTAGTTATGAAATGCAGGCTCCTACAGCAGTTCACATCCTGCAGTTGCCACCTGCTCCTTCCCGAGTCACCAGGAGCAGTGGGTACAGTCCAGCTCTGTCTCTCCTGTGCATAAAACCTCTTGTTCTCTCCAGGCTCCTGCTCTTCCAAGTTCCCATCAGCCCCAGCTCTGTGCTTGGTGGCAGGTTGTCTAATGTTGGTGAAGTGAGGCTAACACTGTTCCCACTCTGCTAGCTTGAGGTCCCAGATCACTTTGCACATCACTGAGCAGGTCTGTCCATTACAGATACCTTTTTGAACACCTCATTTTCAAGACAGTTCCTCTTTCATCTGCTGCACAGCCGAGAGTTGATGGGATTAGAGCTGTCAACACAGGGCACACCAGTGCTGCCTCTCTGCCAAGTTTGGAAGAGGGTCACTGATTACAGAATAAATGTGCAGCTTTTCACGCTTTGGACGTGACCTTGCTTTGCATCTTCCTTGCACCAGGTCCTTGTTATATCCCAGAAGGCCTCGGGTTTGGTTTATTCTGGCGTGATGGGTCTAGTCCATGCTTGTAGCCTACTTTGGGGGATACCTTTGATGCCCATGGGGCTGAGGGCTGGTCTGTGCTCAGCAGGACTGCCCTGGATAGGACAGGAGCTCTGTGTCCCGCTCCGAATATTCCACTTCCAGCACCTTGAAATCTGCCAGCTGCACCTTGGCAGTCCCACCTGGAGTCCACAGCTCTTGCAGAGCAGAGCCTGCTGCTGCCCAGGGCCTTCAGGATAGTCCTCCAGAGCCAGAAATAATGACTCCCAGGATGGTGCAGCCTCCGTGGCCGCTGTTGGCCGCAGAGACAGAGAACAGCTCCGAGGGAGGTGCCAGCAGCTGCCGAGGGCAGAAGCGCTGGTGAGGGGCACCATCACGTATCTCCTTTCATCCTGTCTCCCTCAGAGTGAAAACGCCAGTGAGGAGGCTGGTGAGGGTGAATATGTCAATCTGTATTCCTCTGGCCAGAGCAACGGGGAACTCCCAGGCTCTGAAGGAGTAAGTAACAGCCCGGAGAGCCCCGGGAGGGGCTGCCTGGTGCATGCTGAGCTCACGCCGGGGCTCTTGCGCTTGGCACCGGCCTCTTCCGCACACCCTGGAGCTCCCTGTCCGTCCTGCTGCCCCGGCTCCCCAGCCATCCCTCTGCTTGCCCACTCCTGGCTGCAGGTTTGGGGGCCCTCTTGGTGCAGGTGCAGAGCCGGAGATGTTTTTGGGGTCAGGGATGGCTTCTCCTGCCGCGCTGTTTCCTCTGCGCTTCGCTGGCTGCTCGGAGCTGCTTGCGTGAAGTTCCCTTCCAGAGAGCTGCACCCTGGGCCACATCTTTTCTTGTAACTGCTTTGCCTTCCCTATTTTAATACAGAAAGCCTAAATGCTAGCACTAAATACTTATTTTTTCCTTCACTGTTTGGTTGCAAAGTAAATGATTGATTCAGCATTGTACTCACACACTGTTTCTTCCTTTACTCGAGCCTTGTATCTTAGATGTTTCCTAGAGGAGCCCAGGGCGTTTTCCATTCCAGGGAGGTCTCATCTTCCTGTTGGGTCATAGGAAACTGGCAGGAGTCCGTGGTGATCCTTTTGCCTGCCCTCCTCTTGGAAGGCACATCTCCTGCAGGATGTCCCCAAGACCTTTATCCCTGGTGGTGTTGAATACACCAAGAGATGGTGCTCCCATCACTTCCCCTCAGGAGACACATCTGGGCAGGCCCATCCTTTTGGGCAGCTGTGAGCGGGTTGTCAACTTTGAAGCAAAGGGATTTGCAGATAAGAGCCTGGAAAAATCCTGCAGACACCAAGAAACCCTGGCTCAGCAGGGTGTTTCCATGCTGAGTGGATAGCATGGAGGTGGTTTCAGTCCTGTCTGCTCACTGGCTTCACTCTGCATGATGTTAAATAATTCTGAACTCCGACACTGTTGGATTAATATTCCCATTTGCTGTTCATGGCTATTTGTCTCCTTAATAAATGGCTAATTTAAAATGCTGTATCTTTGCTCTGAGCTCTCTACCTGCTGTTCCATGCCACGGGTTCAGCTGGTTCTGCTTTTTTGCATTAGCCTCATTTCCACAGCCCTGAGTCGTGGAGTGGAAACGTTGCATCATTGCAAAACCTCTTCTGATGGGAGAGAAGGGAGGTAGGAGGCAGTGAGCATCCACCCCCTGAGGCAGGGGGGCTGTGGTCAGGAGGGGAACTGAAACTGGAGAGCTTAGAGCTGATTGTGTCTCTTTGGATTAAAGCAGGAGGCAAAGTGTATTTCAGCAGGAAGGGCTGGAGGAAAAATAAAAGGTCATGAGAGGGTTAAAATCCAAGACAACATCTGACTTGTGTTGTAATTTTCAGCATCATTTCACAATGTTAAGAGCAAACAGTACTAATTACACTAGTCGCCAGAGATGGTCCCAAATTTCCTGTCTGATTAACTTCTGTGTTTTCCTGGCATTTGGCATTAACTTGCATCAATCTTTAACTGCTCTGTAGGAATTTACAGTAAAGGGCCATTTAGAGGCAGGCAGACTGTAAATGCAAGGCTGGCTGGGCTCAAGGACCCCGTGTAATGATGAAAAACTCCTTTCTCTTGGCAGGAATCTCCCCCTGTCAAAGATGGCCACTCCAAAGACTCGGCTTTGAACAGCAGTGCCATGGGGAAGGAGGGCAAAGATGGTGCTGAAAGGTGAGCCTTGACCCCCTGGTGTCCTCCTTCCAGGTTCAAAGGGTGCAGAGCCCCAACATCCCCTCTGCCAGACCATCCTCGGGGTGCCTGGTGTGCCCTAAACCTCCTCCATGTTGTCTAAATTTCTAAGCCTGCTTTTTTTTGCACAGCCAGTGCCTGGTGGGATCCTGCTGAACGAGGAGAACCCTGGCAAGATGTCCTTGCTGAGCTCAGGGAGCCCACTGGGTTAATGCAGCCTGTGTTAGCATCCTCAGTCCCTGACACTGGCTGCTCCCTTCTGCTTCCAGGGAAATGTGTGAAAAGAGTCTGTATTGCTGTTGGGAATAGTCTTGCAGAGGGAAATTCTTCCTAACCCTGCTAGTTAGGGGCTGGCTGAGGCCCCGGAGCAGGAGGCTTTATATCCCTTCTAATGCTCTTAGCTGTCATTTGCCTATGTAAATGAAGAGGTGCAAGCTGTAACAGATGGGCTTCAGGAGGAGTGGAGTGAGTGCTTCCCTGCTGCTTGAGATTGCTCTGCAATTGCATTTCTAAAGCAAAAACAGAGAACAGCCTTGATTTGTGTGTGACAATCAACTTCCCTCCTCCCCATTTTCCTGCAGTTGGTTTGAGGGTTTTAATCCCTGCAGTGAAGGAGACAACACAAGAGTGCTCTGCAAAGCTCACTATCTACCCAAAATATTGACTGTGCACCGGATTTTGGCCTGGGGAAAGCTATGAGGAACATAAGTACTTAATTTTTGGTTTTTTGGGGTTTTTTTTAAGAAATACAGGCACAGAGAGGGCATGTCCTGGCACAAGAGTACCAGCCTTTGTGGGTAGGAATTCTAGAGGGGGATGTACCAAAAAAATGGTCATGATTTTCTGCTCTATTTTTCCTGCAGCACAAGAGCCTGTCATTTCCCCTTGTCTCAGCACAACGGGTCATGGACTGACTAAGATGTGTATGAGTAGAGTGTGCTCAGTTCTCTATACACTTGAGGAAGGGCTTAGATTTGTGTGCACTAAAAATTTGGTGGATTAAGGAGACATGGAAGTGTGTACTTATAGTAAAATCCTGTCTGCCAGAAATGCAGATAGACAAGTGTTGATGTCCTAAAGGTTTATCTTTCTCTTTTTCAAGAGATGCACAAAGCAACAGAGTTAGAGAGAGACATTTGGGCTTGTTTGCAAAAGATTTACCTCCAGAGTCTCTGTGTACTTACTGTCATTTGATGAAGGTTATTTCCCCTTTTTTTCACAGGCAGCCACAGTCACCAGATGCTTTGGAGTCATCACAGCTGGAGGAAGAGGTAGATGAGCTGTCCCTTATTGACCACAGTGAAATCATGTCTAGATTAACACTGAAGCAAGAGGTAGGTGCATTCAGAGTTTGTTTTCATACTCTTTGGTTTACTCTGAGTTGAAATCTGATTCTCTGTGTGCACAAACAAGGCATCACCTTTTATTAGATAGGAAAAACTAGGTTGCAGCAGAGGTGGGGTGTGTGTGAAGGCTGCTGTTAAAGTACGAGTTGCTGGTACAGGCAGGGAGCACCAGCAATGAGTGGGTTTAACAAATGCTGAGATGTCTCCCTAAAAACCAGCACATCCTGTGCCCTTTTCCCAGTCTGCCCCTTCCCACCTCTTCAGCCTCTGACAGTCTGAAAGGAATCCCCTGAGAGCCTGAGCATAATCCATCCAGGTGTGGGTGATGGCCTTTCCCTCTGACTGCAGGTTCAGCAGGTGAATGAGCAGGACATGATGTTACTGATGTGGAGAAGCAGCCAGAGGAATTGTTTCTGTGTTTGGGAAAGGCTTTGTGTTTAGCCTTGGGTGCTCTCCCAGCCAGCTCTGCTCACTGTGCTCTTGAGCCACGCTGTCTGTGACATGCAGCTGGAGGGAACCTGCAGGCTTGTGAAGCTTTCAGACTGTCAGGGAGCTTGGCTGGAAAACAGAGAGAATGGATCATTTACTGGCACTTTAGGGGTGTTCTTTGGTCAGCTGAGATGTGCAGGAGAGTGAGAAGCTTTTACGTGTTCTCTAAGTAGTATTTCATGAGTCTTGCCAGAGGGTCACCTGAAAAATTCACATCTTAAGACAGAGCTGCTCCATGGCTGTAATGCATGATTGTTTCACTGTTTTGCATGTTGAAATGATAAAGACATTCCTAAGGGAAGCCAGACACAACTCCATCCTCCTCTGAGGGATTGTTTCTGTTAAAAAACATTTAAAAATCAGTGATTTCTGAACATTTGGGACTAGCAGATCTGTGTCTTAGTGTCCTTTTTCTTTCTTTTCTTTATGATCTACATAGTTGAAGCAGCATGGAACTGTCACTGTGAGCTGCTTCCTGCAGTGTGGGAACTGCTGACTGAGTGGTGGATCAGTTTTGCATATTTTAAGTTGTGAAATGCAGTAGCTAAAAGAAAGATGTGTTTTAGAGAGTGATAATGCAGGGGTCAAGCAATTAGCAGGGCAATTTTCTTCTGCCAGTTATTGGATGGTTTCAGGTGACCTCCGGCCAAATGGCTCCAGATTAGGGAATTAACTGGCTGGGTTTTGATGTTCCAGGAACATGCAAGTTGAATGCATGACCTCCCACCCCACAGCCACTGTGCTATGTGCTCCTGCACTTTGAGACAGAGCTCACACAGTGCTGCTGCCCTGTTAATGGTCTTCTGGGAATATCTGTGGCATTTCTGCTCATTCTCCTGTGGGCAGAAGTTTCAGCCTTCCCTGAGCTTCACAACCTGGCCTTAGGGGGTCAGAGACCCCGAATAAGGATCAGCCCAGCTCCTCATCTGGGGCACCAAATGCTCTGTTCAGATTCCAGGATTATCCCAGCACTGAAGTCCATGTCCCAAATGTGAGCAGGATTCCAGGAACATTTTGTGCACTGCCAGCTGATGTTAAACCAGGCCTGAGGGAGCTTGGGCCGTGCCTAACGTGGTTGTGTTCCCTTTGCAGGGGGATGATGGGCCAGATGTCCGTGGTGGATCTGGGGACATTCTGCTGGTGCACGCCACGGAGACCGACAGGAAAGGTGGGTGGAGCAGCAGGGCAGGGCTGGGGCACAGCCTGGCACAGCTTTGGCTGCCTGTGCTCTGCCCCACGGCCACAGACAGCTGGGCTGGGGAGTCTGCAGGGATCCTCTGAGCCTGGGGGGTTGTGTTTATCTGTGGGAGATGGAGGTAAGCTGGATAAGCCCCTGGTGGTTCCATTTAGCAGCAGGGATGGGATTAACTCCTCCCAGCCCTTGCCTGGATCTAGCTGAAGCACACCAGGGACAGTTCTGTGTTGTGTCCCTGTACCTGCTGAGCTGGGCCACTGCCTTCTGTGAGAGCAGGTGTGAGCCTGTTGGGCAGGGAGCTTGTTTCCAGAGGTGTTCCTTGTCCTCTGAATTTCAGGGCAGTGGCAATGTAGGAGTTGCTGGAATGGCTGTTGCATCAAAGTAGGAAAAAAGGGGTATTGGTGTGGGTCTGTACCCGTGGGCACTGGAAGGCTGCTCGGGTGCTGCTCTGCTGACTCCCCATATTCTCAATTTACTGTGCCACCTCCTGTCCCACTCTGTACCCCTTGTGTCCTGGCAGCCACCCAGACCAGTTCAGAGAGGGAATCCACAGTACAAAAGAAGAGATGTGGGGGAGGAGAAGGCACATTAGCAACCCTTAGCTCCAGATTTGTTAAAACCCCTCTTCATCTGTCCAAACCCAGGCACCACACACATGAAGCAGCTCCTTTCCAAGACCTGTGGCAAAGACAGCCTTTGCAGTGTTTCCAGAGAGTGATTTGAACCTGCCAAACACATTTGTGCTGATGGCCTTAACCAGGATTGATCTCCTTATCTCCTGGGAGGCAAAACACTAACCCTCTGAATCACTCAGTGCTCGTAGTTTAGAGGTTGATAGTCAAAGGGGAAATATCTTTCATGTTCGTTTTTAAATGGCAGGGGTTTTACTGTAGCATAAGATGTTTGCAATTACTTACCAGCACCATTCAGCTAGCAAAAAAATCCTTCCCCTGACAGCTGTGTTTCCCAGTCTGCATGGGCACAGAATCCAGGCAGAAAGGACCAAAGTTAGGAGCACACCAGAGAGGAGGAGGCAGTTGATTGTGCCAGGGCTGGAAATGTATAATAAAGAAAATAGTCTAAATGAAATGGTGGAAATACCCCTTACAAACATGCTGAAAGTGGGATAGAGAAACTGCTGTGTTCTCTGGAACAAGCATCACAACAAAAAACTTCCCTGCTCTTCCTATTGAAAAACAGCTGCTTGATAAGGGGGTGAGTGCTGGACCTCCAGCTCATGACCAGGGGGCTCTGAGGTTTCTGCAGGCAGTGGGGTGAGAGCTGTGGAGAACCTTTCAGAGCTGGGAGAAGCTAGAGCAGGATTTTATGTGCCCAGTGGTGCAGCTGTGGAGATCTGGGTGGAGGGAGCTCGGGCAGGCGACAGTTCCCAGTGCCTGCCAAGTTGAATGAGCACAGAGGAATTTGTGCTATGCTAACCCACTGCTTGGGTGACTGAGAGGGTTAATGAATTAAGCTTACAATGAGAAGAATTCGAGGCTTGTAAATCAATCAGCCAAACGGCACAGAGGGGTAGAGTTAAGAGGCTTTCCTTTAAAGATGAATTTCTTGGCAGCTTCAAGTGCCAGAGCAGACCAGCTGTATTACCTCACGTTGCCTTTTGGGCAGATGGGAACCCAGAATAAATGTGACTCCACGCCCTGTTGCATGATGCTTCTTGTCCATTTGAGTTTTCTGAAAAAGCTAAATGGCATAAGGAATAAAGAGAGACCTGTGGTCTTTAGGAATGAAGTCCCAGGTCAGCTAAGTGCTCACAGCCACACGCACTTGCTGTGAGTGCAGGGTTAGAGCTGGACAAGGCCCTGATGTGACCACCCAGCCTGTGTTTTCTGTAACCCAGAGGCAGCAGCACTCCCTGATTTAAGAGCAGGAGGAAGGTGAGGTTCCTGCCAAGAGAAATGCTGCAGGTAGAGAGGCAGAGCTCTCCCTCTGTGCCCTGCTCCTTCCCACCTCCCAGCAGTGGCTGGGTGTTAGAGCACGTGGATATGGGGTGATGCCTGTCCTGGCTGGAGCAAGCTCTGCATGTGCAGCCCAGCCTGGGCAGGCACAACAGGAGCTCTTCCTCCCTGCCTGCCCTTGGTGCAGCGCTCCTGGCAGGGGCAGGGTGCCACCCCTGCTGCCCTGCCCCTGCTCTGTGCTGGCACTAATGCCTAATGCTCCTGTTTTGGCACTCCTCTCCACAGGGATCAGGCATTGGGACTGCAGGTGTTTGCAGTCTTTACCCGACATCTGCATTCCTGTTTACAGTTTGTTCTTCAAATTCATCCTCTATGCCCAAAGCCTTTGCAAATTCCAGGCCCTACAGCACCCTGTCCTGCAGATGAATTAGCACAGGCTAACTGTGTGCACTATGTCCCTATTGGGGCAGCATCAGTTTTTGCAGTGCAATTTGCTTTTCTTTTGGCTGGAAATAGTCTTCTATTTACACTGTCCTGGGATGGATTTCTTGGAACTTCAGCAAGGGCAGAGGATCTGCAGCACCACAGTATGTGTTGAAACACGTGTGTTCCTCATTGGGAGGGCAGAGTGACCTGCCTGAGCGGCAAAGGCAGAGCAGGCATCACCTCTTGCCACCAGATCTTCTTTTTTAAGCATCCCCAAGGTCTAAACTACGTTTTTCCTTGACACATTATTGATAGCTCCTGTCTCACAAGCAGGTGTTTTTCACTGACCCTTTTATGAGGCACAAGCCCGAGTGCTGCAATGGGAGGCAGGGCCAGGCCGGTGGGGACAGGGCAGTGTCACTGCTGCTCTTGTGCCAAAGGGTCCATCTGCTGGTAAGCACCAACAGCACAACATTTCTGGAAGTTCACTCACATCAAATTGTGTCCATGTCCTCCTCTGCACATCTGCATTCAACCCCACAAGAAACTTGTTTTCTGAAAGCAGGGTTGACTGAGGCTTTCTTGCTCTTTTGCCTAGATCTGGTGCTGTACTGTGAAGCCTTTCTGACTACATACAGGACATTTATTACCCCTGAAGAGCTCATCAAGAAGCTGCAGTACAGATATCCTTTTATGAGTGGCAGTTCACTCCCACCAGGAATCAGAGCTGGATGGTCAGCGTGGAAGGAGCTGGTGGCAAGTTTTTTGGTCAAAAGCCTGCTGGCAGCATGGTCAGTGATGTGCTGGCCCTGATGTGGTCTCCAGGAATTCCTTCACCTCCACTCCCTCCAATGGGAATTGCTGCAGGGCAGGTCCAGTCACAGTGGACCTGAGAGTTGTCTCCTGAGGGTCTTGGCAGGGTAGAGGACTAATTCACCTCTTTGTATGTCACTGGGGAGCTGGGCTTTTATTTGGGACATCTCGTTTGTAGAGTGGGGACCAGAGAACCTTGTGCCTTCCAAAGAGGCCGTGGGCATTGTTTGTGTGGGCAGGGGTAGTTTAATATTAGAGATGATGAAACCATCAAGGCTTTGTCTCTCTTACTGCAATAAACTCAGCCCTGACAATGCTCTTGGCCTCCCGGTCCTGAGCTGAGCTTGGAACTGGTAACGAGGCAGGGCCCTGCTGTGCAGGGTGAGCATTCCTGGCAGAGGATGGAGAGGGCCTCTCCCTGAGCAGCCTGCTGCCAGCAGAGCAGGGTCTGGGTGGCTCTGGTGGCTCTGGTGCTGTGCAGCCACGTCAGAGGGAGCCTGACGTCACCGTGTGCTGCTGCAGCTCGTCAGTGCCATCTGCAGCAGAGCTGCTGCTCTGGCTGCCAGGGACACAGCACGGCTCAGCCAGGTGACAGTCCTGCCAGTGCTGCCTCCCTGATAACCTTGTTCTCTGTCCTTTGTCCACCTGGCAGAAGGTTTTTCAACCTGTGCTGTCACCCCTGTCACTGCTCTCCTTGCAGCAGATTGGGCAGCCAGGAAGATGGAGGTGACATGTGAGATTTGTTGAGACCAGATGTCAGTGACCAGTGGGGGAGATCACTGTAGGGAAGTGCTGCTCATTAAAAGCCACCTTAGAGAGAACAATTTCAGGGTACACCTGCTCTCAATTCTGTGAGGTGTCAGTACCTCCTCACACCCCCTGCTACCAGCAGCTGGTGTCAGTTTAATGCCATCTTAGAGCCATATCAGTGTCCCTCATCTCCGGGAAATGGAGCACCAGTTTCCATTAGGACAGAACAGTGTGGTGTTCTAATGTGGCTGCCCCATCCCTGGAAGTGTTCAAGGCAAGGCTGGATGGAGCTCTGAGCAACCTGGGACAGTGGAAGATGTCCCTAAACTGGATGATTATTAAGGTCCCTTAAATCCCCAAATCATTCAATGATTCCTTGAGGCAGTTGGGAATTGCACTGATGCTGGTCTGGCTACAGTGAGTTGATTCCTTAATTTGCAACCCACATATGAGAAGTTTTGCCACTTCCCAGACACGTTCAAGAAGCGAGTCAGTAAGAACACCTTCTTCGTGCTGGTGCGAGTGGTGGATGAGCTGTGGTGAGTTGCCTTCTTCATTTTGGGATGCAGGGTCAGTAACTCAGAGAAATCTGGCAGCTGGGAAAATGTGGTTTTTAGGGAAGCTGTATTTTTTTAACCCCATCTGTAATGACAGCTGAAAACTCCCAACCCTGACCAGTGAGACACCTGTAGTGCTGAATTCTGTTGGAAGAACAGATTCTTCTTGTGTGTGCCAGCTGGGTCAGTGGTTTTAAAATAACAAGTAAAAGGGGAATCTCTGGGAAAGGAAGAGCTGTGAAAAAGAGGAATTTCAGTCACCCAATTCTGCTGGTAGGAAAGAGCAGTGAGACTCATGGAGATACAAACCCCAGTGCTCAGGGTCTCAGCTCTGATGCCTTCCCTGCGTTTTCCACCTTCCTCTCAGCTTGGTGGAGTTGACAGAGGAGATCCTCAAGCTGCTGATGGACCTGGTGTTCAGGCTGGTGTGCAGTGGGGAGCTGAGCCTGGCCAGAGTGCTGCGCAAGAACATCCTGGACAAAGTGGATCAGAAGAAAATGCTGAGCTACGCCAACTCCATCAAACCTCTCGCGGCCAGAGGGGTGGCAGCCAGGTGAGGGAAGGTCCACATGGCCATATCTGGGTCCTCTGAGAGCCAGGGCATCCCTTCCCTGGGAACACAAGAGTTTCCTCAGTTCAAAATACAAGAAAGATAAGAAAACAGGTCACATTTCCTGAGCCTTTGTACTTCCTCGTTGTTTTCCACAGGCCAGGGACACTGCATGATTTCCACAGTCATGAAATAGCTGAGCAGCTGACCCTGCTGGATGCTGAACTCTTCTATAAAATCGAGGTACAGAGATGTGGGTGGGCTGAGGGCAGTGGGAGGGTTTGGACCTTCTGCAGTGTCTGGTGTTCCCTGCCAGCTCTGCAGACACCTGCTGGATTGTAGGACACAGCTGATCTTGGGCAAGCAAGTGGCTGTGAACAAAGTTTTCAGCTGGGAATCTTGGGGTAGAAATCCCATTTTAATGTGTGGTATTTTCCCATCCCTCTCCTCTCCTTCCTTGGCAGATCCCAGAAGTTCTGCTTTGGGCAAAGGAACAAAATGAAGAGAAGAGTCCCAACCTGACACAGTTCACAGAGCACTTTAATAACATGTCCTACTGGTAAGGAGCTCAGAACAGCCATGGCACTGAACTGTGCCTAACCTCCAATGCCTTCAATGCCTTGCAAATATTTCAAGTATTCCTCATAGACTTTAATTCCTCTTTTACAAATGGGATAATGGATATTTTTGGCTGGGAAGTAGATGCAGAGCACTCATCTAAGACCCCAGAGCACAGCAGAAATAAAATCAGAAGGGTTAGGGAGGGCCTTGTAATCCAGAGGAATTAATTATCAGTATCACTGAGCTCTTGAAACAAGCATTCCCCTTGCAAATAACTGCACTCTGTGAAAGTATCTTGTCTTTGCTGTGGATTAGAGTGCTCCATTTGAGTTGGAGGCACTGTGAAGTTTTTTGCATTGGCCCATCCCTATTAGTGATCAGTTTTCTTAATGAAACAAGAGGAAATCTGATGTCTGCTTAAGTAGGTTTATCTTTCATTCTGTCTGTTCTTCCAGGGTCCGTTCAATAATTATGCTACAAGAGAAAGCCCAGGACCGAGAGAGGCTGCTCCTTAAATTTATAAAGATTATGAAGGTACAGCTTGGTTTTTCCTGTGAATCACACACACTGCTGCTTAAAGGAGCAGGGGAATGGGGTCCTCTGCTTGGTAGAGCTGTTTGATGCTAGAAGGCTTTTCAGAGCTCTGGAGTAACTGGAATATTCTCCCTCTTCACAGCACTTACGAAAGCTGAATAATTTTAATTCCTATCTGGCCATTCTTTCTGCACTGGATTCTGCACCCATCCGAAGGCTGGAGTGGCAGAAGCAAACCTCAGAGGTGAGGAGCAGTGGGGCCTGTGATCTCTGGGAGGAAGGCTAAGTGTGGTTATGTGTGAAACAGCCGAGTGGTTTTCCATCTCAGCTGTGCCCCAGGGTGGAGGGATGGTGGATAACTCCTCTCCAGTGGGTAAAATGCCACAGTGCTGCAAGCCTTCAGTGTGGCTGGGCATTCTGACAGCTTCAGGAGTGCCAGCACAGTCACAGGGGAGGACAGCCTGCTCCTCCTCCTCCTCCTGCAGCCCAAGGCTTGGGGAGGCTGAAGGCAGCAGTGCTCCACGTGAGCACCCCAGGGTCGGGCTGAGTAAATCAGCTGGAGGTGTTTGCAGGATGGCATTACCTCCCTGCTCTGCGTGGCTGTCTGGGGGGAGGTGACAAGGAAAATGGCTTTGCAGCAGGGGTGTCACCAGGGGATTTGTGTGCTGCAGGGCCTGGCTGAGTACTGCACCCTGATCGACAGCTCCTCGTCCTTCCGCGCCTACCGAGCGGCCCTGGCCGACGTGGAGCCCCCCTGCATCCCCTACCTGTGAGTGCCACTCCTTCCCCTGTGTCATGGTTTAACACCCTGCCACTGCTTCTGCACATTGAAATGGCTCCTTCAAGGACTTCTCGGCAGCTGCTGCTGAGCTCAGCCCTTGCCTTTTGCCCAGCATCTGGCATGAGGCAGCACTGTGCCACACAGCCCATGGGCCCTCTCTGGAGCAGTTTGTCTGGGGCAGGGTGGCCAGCTGGGGGTGTTTGCATCCAAACACTTTGGATCTGCTGCTGGGGAATGTTTCTCTCTGGATAAGGTTGCTGTTCTGGTGGCAGTGGGAGGCTGTTGGATTTTGTTGGGCTGCCTTTTGGCTGGCCACCCTGCCCTTTGTGACTAACCTCTGTGTCTGTTTGCCTACTCCCTTGGCCTGCTGCCCCTTTCCCTCTTTCAGAGGCTTGATTCTGCAGGACCTGACCTTTGTCCATCTGGGAAACCCTGATTACATTGACAGCAAAGTGAACTTTTCCAAGCGCTGGCAGCAGTTTAACATCCTGGACAGCATGAGGTGCTTCCAGCAAGTGTAAGTGCAGCAGTGGGGCTCAGAGGTGGCTTTGGGGCAGCTCGGTGGGCACTGGGGCAGGGGCTTGGACATGGAAGCCCCTGTGCAAGGAGAAGGGAGTTTAAAGGGGAAGGGAGTTGGAAGGAGAGCTGAGAACAACAGGGCTCTAATCAGTCTCCTTCCCTCTCTAGGTTAGATAAACATTGTGAGGGTATTTTTCTGATCATAGTTTTGAGATCCAGACAAGTTTTGCCCTCAGGTTTTGCCATTGCTGGTTCCTGTGTTCTCTGGGGTATTCAGGGTTTTCTTTGGTGCTGTCCTGCAGCAGAGGCAGCAGATCTAACTGCTAATTTCTGTGTGATAAGTGCCTTTTTCCCTTCAAATCAGCACAGGTTTTTCCCCTTTGTGGTATGACAGCACTGCCATGAGAACGGGGCACAGCCCACACACAGTTCTGGATGTCCTCAGAGCAGGACAGGGGTGGCCCCAAGCCAGGAGAGGACCCCAGGTAGCCCTTGTTTAACTGCAGCTCCTCTGTGGTTTTCCAGACATTACGACATCAAAAGGAACGACGACATAGTGTCCTTCTTCAACGACTTCAGCGACCACCTGGCCGAGGAGGCCCTGTGGGAACTGTCCCTGAAAATCAAACCTCGCAACATCACGAGGCGGAAAACGGATCGGGAAGAGAAAACCTAGGAGGAGGGGTTGTGCGAGGAGAATCGCTCCGCAGAGGCGCCGAGGGCAGCTATGAGACTGGAGTTCCGTGTTTGTACCTGTCACTGGATGACACACCCTCCCTGCCAGCGGCACCATCCCCGGGGTGGGAACGCCGGGCGCGGAGGCGCCGGCGCAGCCGCCGAGGGCAGAGATCGGCCGGTGCTCGCGGCACTCGCCCTCCTCCTCCTCCCGTCCCCCTGTGCCATGAACCAGCTTTAACCCCGGGGACAGAGCTGTGTGGAAGGAGTGTCCCACGCAAGCGTGTTGCTGGTTTGCTGGCCTGTTGCAGTCAGGCGTAGCCTGGCTTTGTTTCCATCCAGAGCAGGGGCAGCAGGAGCTCAGCTGGCTCGTCTCCGGAGCGGCGTCGGGCAGCAGCAGCCGTGGAAGCCAAGGGTTGGAGTCTCCCCTGCAATGCCACCTTCCCAACGTGTTCGTGAGGATGGAAGGGTCTCGTGCTGCCTGCCAGAGGAGCTCTGCTTCCAGAGAGCTGCTTGTGTTTACAGGGGTCTCGGCTCACCCCAGATCTCTGGCGCCTTCTTCACGGGAGGAAGGCACCGCTCGTAGATACGGAAGAGGCACTGAAAATGTGGGCAGGGACCCGCCATCTCCAGTCATCACACCCCCCTCCTCCTCTCAGATCCCGTTATTTAAGCACCAGTGAATCCCTCTGAACCTGGAAGCACGGAGTGCCCAGGTCCTGGGGACACCTGCCCGTGACCCCGTGTCCATTAGCGATGGTACTTAGCTTTTGCACAGGAAATGCTGTAGGATACAGACTGTACATACCTAGTGTTTAGAACCCCCTGGGAATTTTTGATGCATGTCTGAATACCGATGAGTTTATAGGAAAAAAAAAAAGGTGCAAACCAGTCTGTACAAAATCCACAACCAGTGACAAAGTTGTTCCAAGTGCTGGATAAAGGAGGCTCGGAGTGGCCAGGTGGGCACTGGCTGCAGAGCAGGGGCAGGAGCCTCATGAAGGAGCCATTTCTGGGTTGGAAGTTGGAACCAGGAAGGAGCCCTGTGCCCAGCTGAACCACCCTGTCCTCCCACCAACTCCTCTCTCCTCTCTCTGTTGCCAAATGTTTTTTTCTGGGGTCCCTGTTGGGACCCTCAGTGCTGTGCTTTCAGAGCTGTGCTTTGGCAGGACCCCCAGCAAGTCCCTGCCCCCAGTCCCACCGTGCTGGTGCCAGCAGGGCAGGGACAGCCCAGCATGGAAGGACGAGGCAGGGGGGTCATTTCCCACACACACAGTGTTAACCCCAATCTGTTCAGTGTGCCTTATTCAGCCCTTCTGTCCCCCCTCTGCATCCCACCCAGCACAGCCCCAGCCAGGCCATTTCACATCCCTCCTCTCTGTCCTGCTCCAGTGGTTTGCTGTTGGATCGTGGGTGTGACTGTGCCCTGCAGGTTTCAGCAGCCTTGCAAGACCCTCCTCAGCTCCCTGCCACGTGGGCACAGGTTTTTACAGGGTTCTGACAAAATCCTGCAGGTTTAGGGCAGCAGCTCCCAAGGAATGCAGACATGGGGTTTCACCCAGCATCCTTAACTTCTCAATAGCAGCTCTGTGGCTGCTAAAGGCTCTGTTCTGGGTGAATCAAAGCTGCACTCTTTTCCCTCTCCAAACAGATTGCAAAGCCTTGGGCAGCTCTGCCTGGCTCTCAGGAGAGTGACAGCCCAGGATTTTACCCAGCTTGGTTATTCTCCTGAAGCCTCAGGCACGAGGCTGACACAGTGGCCAAGCACAGAGACACTCCCTGCCCATGAGGGCATCTGGGGGAGGGGAGTGTGGGGTCCAACCCAGTTCTGTGCAGCCCCAGAGCAGGAGGAGCAGGAATCTTTTGTGCTGAACCACAGTGTCCGAGCCAGAATACTTCAAAAGTGGTTTATTTTCATGGCACTGAGGGCACTGGAGCTGTGTGTTCTGTCCAGCCAAGGCTTTGCAATCCCCAAAGGCTCCCCAGGAAGTAATGTCCATGTTTCCTTTGTAAATTAGATCTTTTAAAAGCCCAGCAGACAGCCTGGACGCAGGACTGGAAGGGATTCTGAGGAACGTTGCTGACAACACTAAATTTGGGCACGACAATGTAAAAAAATACATTAAGCTATTAGAGGGTGTCCAAAGGAGGCCATAAGGATGGGGAAGGGTTTGGAGGGGCCTTGTGAGGAGCAGCTGGGGGCACTTTGTTCAGCCTGGAGGAGACTGAGGGGAGACGTTTTGGTCTTCAGCAGCCTCAGGAGGGGCAGATGCAGATCTCTGCACTTGTGAGCAGTGACAGGGCCCGAGGGAATGGCTGCACCTGTGTCAGGGAGGTTTAGGCTGGAAATCAGGAAAAAGTTTTTCCCCCCAGAGGGTGGTGGGGCACAGCACCAAGCCTGTCTGAGATCAAGAAGCGTTTGGACAGTGTTCTCACGTGGTGGGATTTTTGGGTTGTCCTGTGCAGGGCCGGGACTTGGACTCGGTGACGCTGATGGGTCCCTTTCCAGTCAGCAAATTCTGTGATTCTGTGATCCCCAACCAACAAGAGCTGTTTCCAGGTTCTTCCCTGCACTTGAGCCCACAAGCCCTGTTAGCACCAAAGGGGGTCTCGCTCTCTGCCCTCTGCCAAGCCCCCAGAGCCACAGGCTCAGCCCGTGGCGTGGGGGTGGGAGGTCTGAGTGGCCACAGCACCTCCTCCAGTGCCCCCCAGCTTTCCTCCCCCTTCACCCCTTCCTCTGCTGGCATCCCCAGCCGAGCAGTGTCCCAGCCACAGCTCCTGGCTCGTGTCCCACCCTCAGGCCAGGCTCTCAGGGCTGGAGGGACCCTAGAGGAGGGTCCCCTTCCCTGGAGCAGCTTCAGGTTCACTGAGCAGAGACCCCCCGCTCCTCTCCAGGAGCAGTCCCTGGGGAGCAGAAACCCAGGACATCCTTGTGCAAGACTGGCCATGAGTGTGTTCCCATCTTGCAGGCAGCATCCTCAAGGCCATCACCTCTTTTTGGGGAGAGGGAAGAGTCAGTCCCCTCTCCACACGGGGCAGGGAGTGGGGAGAAGCGATGTCCCCAGTCACCAGCCCCCTGCCCCAGGCCTCTCCCCAAGCAGTTCCGTTGTATTATAGATTTACCACTGACCCCCGTGGTGGCATCTTCTGCAAACATTTCAGACCTGTAACTTTTATATTAAAGACAAATAAAACACCAATAACGAGCCTGCCTGATGATCCTGTTTACAGTGCATGCACAGTCTGTGGATTAAAGTGACAATCGAATCCGCCTCTGGCGCTGGTGTGGCCTCGTGTTTTCTCATGTGCCCCCCGTGGTTTTCCTCTGCCCGTGCCTCTTTTCCCCTCTCTTTTTTCACTATAAATTTCTTCCCTCTCTCTCTGCCTAGATGGTTTTGCCCCAGTGCAAGCCATACACTTGGGAGGGGAAATTGCTCCTGCCACCTTCTCTGGGCACTGCTGTCCCCGTGTCAGGGTTTTGGCTGCGCAGCCCCCGGCGTGTGCCCAGCCCGTGCAGTGCCACCAGCCAAGGGCTATAAATAGCCCCTGCAGCAGCCAGGCTGCTCCGTGGAGCTATTTCAGTGCTGGACAGGGTTCAAAATTCCTCTGGAAATAATTGTCACGGGCCAGCTCGGGAGGAGAGTGCCCAGACACTGACCGAGCACGTGCCCCTGCGCCAGGGCTGGAATGTGGGGCTGCATCCCACGGAACCAGCACAGCAGGAGGGGTCTGCCCACGGCTCAGCGTCCCCCCAAGCAGCTCGGCCAGGGGCACACCCAGGCCCATGGGGAGATTCCCCTTCCCTGGGGTCCTGCATGGGCTGGTGCTCTTGGGAGAACCCTGATGTCAGCGGTTGCAGAACTTACCCTGAATTTTGTGGTGGACAAAGGCCATGGCAAGGGGAGATGGAGGCCTTGGTTTGCAGAGAAAGCAGAAGCTTTGGCTACAGCTGTATTTTATTTCAATCTGGAAGCAGCAGAGGTGGCAATACAGGGAGGGTGTGTGGGTGTGTGTGTGGAATTACTGTAGAACTGCATACCTGGGTTTGTATTCTCACACTATTAATGACCGGTGAGGGCTTTCCCAAACACCTGTTATTCTGCTCCATCCCCAACCCCAATCCTACAAGATGCTCCCTCTGCATCAGAGTCCATTGGAGCTCCAAGCGACAGCCCACAGCAGCGGGATTCAGCATCCTGCAGCAGAGCCTGATCCCGCCCATGGATCCGACACAGCCCAGGGCTGGATCCAGCAGGATCCGGCATCTCCCTGCCCTGGGCTGAGCTGAAGGCTCCGGGGCAGCTCCTCGCCCCGCCGGGAAGGACGGGCACTGCCCCGCAGCCCCAGTAACTCCTCGCTGCCGCCCTTTCCACTCAAGGCTGTGGCAGCTCCACCTGCCCGTGCCCCGCCCCACGCCCAAGTCAGGGTCCCTGTCACAGGTACAGGGCCACCAGGACGTAGATGATCCAGCTGATGGAGGCGAACAGGCCGAAGAGGAGGCTGAAGAGGACCAGTAACTGAGCCTTTCTGGATGCCGCATACGCCTGGGCCAAGTCCCCGCGGGCGAGCGCAGCCCGGGTCTGGGGCAGGGGGAGAAGGGCAGGAGGGGTTAGCAGAGACCCGCAGCACCAGGAGGGGCTTGGAGGCTGCCGGGTGAGTCCGTGCTTACCTCGTAGGAGTAGACGAGGGCTATGACCCCGGTCAGCAGGCAGCAGAAGACGGTGACCAGCGCTGACTCCACCGTGTAGTCCTTGGGCAGCGGCTGCCCGCGGCCGGCGGGGGGCGGCCCCGCGGCCGGCTGCGCGTGGGGCAGGTCAGGGCGGAGAGCGAGCCCGGCTGCGCTGCTCGGGGCACCGCAGGAGCCCCGGACAGCCGGCGGGGCAGAAAAGGGGTGACCCGAACACAGCGGGTGCGGGATACGTACCGTGCTGTAGGGCAGGGGCCCGGCGGGGAAGCCCGGGGCTGGGAAGGGCCGCGGTCCCGGCCCCGACGGGTAAAAGACGGGCCTTTGCTGGGAGAAGCCGGCTGGGAACGGCGGGTAGAGGAGGTGGAAGCTCTTGGGGTCCGGGGGCGAGTAGGGTGGGGGGGCCCCCTCGAAGGCCGAGTTGGTGACCACCGACGCGGCCACGGGCCGGTCCCCACGGGCCGCGGGGGCATCGCTGCGGGTGCCGGGGGTGGGCGGCGCCCCGGCTGCCCCGCGGCCATCCCCCGGCCCGGCTGCCCCGCGGCCCTGGGGCCCGGCTGGCGGCTCGCCGTCCATCGCGGGATGCCTGCGGGGACACGGAGTCCCGATGGGACGGGACACCCCCGGCACACCCACCCACGCGGTCACCCCGGTGTCCCCCCCCGAGCCCCCGGCGCCCCGTGCCCGCCCCACTCACGGCGGTGCCCGCGGGGTCCCAACAGCCGCCGCTCGGGGCGGCCCCGGCGCGGCCCTCGAGCCCCGCGTGGCCCCGCGCGGAGCGGGAGCGCGGCCGGGCCGGTTAATCATTGACCGCCGAGCGCCGGGGCCGCGCCGGGGCTCCGGGCGCGCAGCGACCTCGGGGGGACAAACGGGGGCGGCCAGGGGGTCCGGGCTCCTGCTGGGTGCAGGGCAGGACGGGAGCGTCACAGCAATTAGTTCGTGTTTAAACGTGTGATTTGGTTTTATTTTAGAATATTGTATTTACGTGTGGAATGTGGTGTGTGTTTCGGCTCTATTTGTACACAAAATGTATATAAAATTCTGTATATTGCAGCTATAGCTATTAATATCTAGCATGCATGTGTGTAGACATCTCGATGGCACCCCACGCACAGGATGTGTGTGCACACGCTGTGTATTTTACCCATATGTGTATTTCTGTGTTTTGGTGTTTCTGTGTCGTACCTTCAGGTGTTTATTCATAGTTTCCGTGTGCTCTGCACGCACCTGCACTCAGGAACAGGGGTACAACACATACAGGAACAGGTGTGCACGTGGGTACAGCTGTAAAGTACGGGAACAGGTGTCAAACACACAGGAACAGGTGTCAAACACAGGCGGGGGACAGGCGTGCGCTCACACCCACGGTCACACAAGTGCCTGGGTAAAACAGCGCTGTCTGTAGTAAGGCAGAGCGTTATTACTGTCCACGCATCCCCCTGTCCATCTGTCTATGTGTCCCCCTGTCCCTCTGTCCC